TCTAGAAGCTATAAGATAGCAGTAACGTTATATATATTGAGTATTTAACATCAAAATAGGCCTCCGATATACGATCATAGAGAGAAAACTTCATTAAGCCGAACATGTTCAATTACTGGCCAGGGCATAGGTTGCAGCACGTTATTGGCTGGACAGCACAGATACCGTGCTGCGTTCACGTCAACATGGCGCTGTCACTGGCTTATCAAATGTCGCACAATCGTGTTCGAAATAATTACCTCCTCTAGATCCACACTACGTCATAAAAACTTCGAAGGAGTGTTTAGTGCACTGGTTTAACAGCTATTCGAGGAACTAATGACAGCCGAACATTTTATTTGCTTCACTAGAACCGATTCTTTTACCTAACTCGCAGCTCGTAACGCTTCCTTTAATTTTTCTGACTAGTTCTTATTCAAGTTTAGTAGTTTCGGAATAAGGTTTCAAACGCTATCTTTCTTTGGACGTAGGTAATTCATGAACAATAAAATTTACTTCAGTAATAAAAGGCACCGTAACATTAGTTTGAAATAAATTAGCATGTCTTATGTATGGAAACATTAACTCGTGGATAAAACTAAGTAAAGAATGTTTAGGTATATTTCCATGCGAAGAAAATTAAAAACAAACCAGTTTCTTCTGAATCATAGAGTGAAGAAGATATATTTTTGTTATGACTATCGTAAGACATACTGAATTAACTAAACAATTACGAGTTATTCACGTAAATATACTGACAAAGCTCTACTAGTTTCAAGTAACTGAGAGACTCTTCCTCATGAGGAGATATACTTAGAAATCATTCATCGCTGTGAGTACGTGTATGGTATCAAATAATGTGGACGCGTTGTTTAATTTCTCGCTCCCTCGCACACAATATTTATATCACGGGACGGCACTGGCCACGCATACAACTTATTTATTCATAATCATGAATTAAACGTTCGACGATTCTCATTAATGTTCACTTGAGTGGCTATGTTTCCTCTAATAACATACGCATTAGTATAACTGTTCTAACAACTAGGTGCCTATTGTAAAAGTTGGTTAAAATTCCTATTGGTGTTCCAGGTTAAACAAACTAAAAATTCCGTTTAGTTATATTAAATAAAATAACATGAAAACTACTAAGTTCCTTCTATTTTAATTATCTAGTAATCACAAGTTATATTCAGCTTATAATTTCAAAAAAATAAATTTTCATCGAAAGTCCTGAATTTATAAAATAATAATACTACCTACGTAGAAAACTTAACAAAAAGTCTAGTAACAATAGAGCGTCGACGGCTGCGACTTACAATAGGTCTTTCCGTACCTACCTAAATACGAAACGAGCGGGAAAATTACCCAAATCTCATTTCTCGCATTAAATAATTAGTTTTCAGTTAAATAGTTTGTGCACAGTTTAGATAGGTACTCTGAAGTTACGCCACAGTAATAAGTTAGAGCTAAAGAACTGTAGTTCCCGGCCATGCATTAGAAATTAAAGCGAAAGCGCTAACTGTATTTTTCAATTACGGCCACGTCGAAGAGTTAAAAATTACTGTAGTTGGTCGACGTTCTCATACGTATACCTATTTCAGGCATTCGATTATATCAGGTATGTGTCACTGACTGACTGATTTATTGATTAGGTGTCTAATGATTTTTTGCATGATTCGGTGATTTAATTAGTGCCGTGTAAATAATATGAGGCCCCCAAACTACGGGGGTCCCCAAAACGTACGTAAGCGAAAATTAATAAAAACTGTTTGATTTTATTTCAGTAACAGAAAAGTCAAATTAAACATTTTTTTTTTTGCGTATAGCATGCGTTCACAATGTGGCAGAAACTTTAGAAAAACGAAAGTAATTATAGTCCTATAATAATTTGGGCAGAGGGAGATACTTGCGAAGTTTTAGTAGTAGAATTGCATGCAAAAAATATGTTCTTATAAGAAATCTTTACCCTTCATTAGGGCCCCCAAACAAATTTTTATACGGGGCCCCACCAAGGCACGCTACGCCACTGTTTATTAGGAACCTGTGTACCTACTGTAATAGTTTTAATTTCCTTTTTTTGCTATGTGACATTCCTCCACTTAAAACTGATCGACTTATCGAAAAACATTCCATGAAAACATAAAGAAAGGTTACGTTCAAACATTTCTGCACAAGTAAGTACAATTGGTTTAGCAAAGAACTGCTGTTAATACGTAGCACCTAGACTGGAATGGTAATACACTGAAACAACGCACTCGTGAGTAGGTACCACTTGCCGGTAGCAGTACAACGCAATAATCGTACTTATGCAAACAGTCGCACTAGGAGCGCGTCCCGGGCTCTCTCGTGTCACCTACACCAAGAGTCCCCATCGGATAAATAATTCTACTCGCGCTTATCCACTTCAACTAGTACTAAATTACGTTAGTAGTGGGTGTCTCACCGCTCGCCCCTCGGTGCAACGTACGATACGACACAGCGACCTGAGCACTTTTTGCTAAGTCGAGTCAGTTAGTTGACCTATCTGCAAAATAGTATTAAAGTGCACTCAGAATGTATGTGAATGTGCTGAAAGCTAACAGCGTCTGTTCTCTATTATTTTGTTGAACAACAGCGAGTTTTTCGTTCGTGAATTATTTAGTTGTTCTGTATTATCGTAATTGAAAAATTGTTTTTATTAAACCACTCTCAATATTTTTTCAGTTTCTTACTCCTAAAATAAATTAACTTTTAATGAACTTATTTTTGTTTTTTTTTTAGTAACGTTGCCCCACCCTAGTATTTTCTCTTGTGTCGTGGGTAAGTACATACGTTTATAAACATACAAGTTTACATACAAATGACACTCACAACCACCAAAACAACAATTTGTGGATCACACAGAGTTGTTTCGTGCGGAAATCGAACCCACTACACGTTGCGCGGCAACTAGTTGCCCAGCCAACAGCCAACCGTGCAGTCGAATTATTATTACTATCTAACACATGAAGTCTTAGAATGAAGATAATCGAATTTGAGATAAAATAAGATAATTTAATAAACCTAATTGTTTTCACCGCCATCTTAGAAATAGAACATATTTCATCAGCAAAGTTTTCATATGTACCGTATCTGTTACATATCCACAATAAACCTTAGACAAGTACCCACCCGATGCTCCCGATCGCAGAATTCTTGAAAATATTTGTACCTGCCCGCCGAACCGAGGTATTTCAATAAAGCCAAGATGATTTTAGTCATTTATCTCATTGCGGCGGTGGTTAAAGGAGATATATGTTACTAAACCCGATTACCCCCTTGGAGCTTCCCTTGTGTTCAAAGTGAATGTATTGGAGCGGAATGTTCCACGTCAGAGGTAAAAGCAAGTATTCATGTTTAATTTCATCCTGTATGAGAGCACGTAAAAAATCTTTTATCTGGACCCGAATTCCTAACAAAGAATTGTTTCATGAGTATCTTCGTTGATCTTCTCATGGAGCTGTGTGTATTGGTATATATAGGTAGGTTGGATACTTATGAAACGTGTTTGTATATTATGGATTATTTATGATGAACTTATCCTTTCAGTTCTGTAGGACATTTAATGAATATAATTATAATTGATCATTAATGACTAATATGCTAATTTCTAATATTAAAAAAAAATATGTGTTACATTTTATTTAAGAAATCATCAGTCAACGTATGTACTTACGTACGGTAGGTACTGTGGCTGAGTTTCTGGCTGTTGCACAATGTGTTAGGGGGTCGATGACTCTTTTTGTAGTGGTTCCCGTTCTGGGTATGATGTGTTCTGAATGTTTATGAAAACTACATTTTTGAATGAAAACAATAAGAAATAGTTGTGCCTTGGGGACCGAATAACTGTAGCCGGATTTAAACGTAATATTATTGTAAGTATTGACCGGTACGTATTAAACGTTTAATATCATTGTAGGTCCTAAAATACTACCCCGGTGATCGTACCTATTCTATTGAATGAATTGTAATAAATATTTTTTTTTTTTAAATAAACGAATAATGTTCACACAATACGAATAAAATGTATCAAATCGATTGTTAATAATACAAAACTTCACAATCACACGATTGTATTGCGAAACAAACGAACTATTGTAATCCCGTATGTGCGTGCCACACTGTAGGGAATTAACAACTTAGATTGGTACACTGCCGCTAATAAGACCAACTCTTTTATCCCGCTACCTTTTCAACTGTTTAAAAAGCTTTACACGCCACGATTGCAGACGACGGCGACGTCATTCGTGTTCATGAATTGCAATTCACACTTTTTAATATCCATACAAGAAAAAAACGATGAATAGAAAAGGATGTAAGTAGGTAAATTAAATAATTATCGTGAGTTACAATATCCCCACAGTAGGTACGTATATATGAAAAGATGTGGATTATACCTACTTTATAGGTACTCATAAAAAAAGCATATATACGGTCGAATTGAGAACCTCCTCCTTTTTTTGAAGTCGGTTAAAAATGAAACCAGTTTCCCGTTGTCACGCCATAACTTGAGAATGGCTGGACCGATTTGGCTTATTTTTTTTTTTGTTGTGTTTGTTATTGTCAGGAGAAGGTTTTATGATAGCCAAAAAATCCTGAAAATCTTATGGGAACGGGATTGCGCGTACGAAGTCGCGAGCAGAAGCTAGTACTTTATACTTATACGAAACTAAGCACGATGTGTAGTAGATTGTTAAGTGTTATGAAAATTTCTGTAAAAAGTAGTAAAAACTTCTGCGAAAATTCATTTATACCACTACCAAAATGTAAATAAAGCAAATATATTTAAAATTTCCCGCCACTAACCAATAGACTTTCGACCATAAACTAACCTAAAAATTAACCACACACAATAAATGTCATACACGTCAACGTCAATGTTATCAAATGAGAAAAAAGTCAACTGTCAAACTGAATTGTAGATTATCACCGACTAAAAATTAGTGGAACTGAAAAATACAAAAGTATTATAACAGAAACTAAAACATTACTCAATTAAAATGCATGTTCAATCACTTGCTGTTATTCTATCACTTGGTTTAATTAATTATGCGGTAGTTATTGTGCACTTAACTGTATTTCGTTTACAACATGATAGAACATTTTTACATGAATAGTTTCCTCTTTCAGGCTTGTATTGATTACGATGGATGGCTGAATATTAAAATAGAACATTCCCTAAACTGCGGCACTGAAAAATATTGCCCTAGGGGAAACATAGCACTAAAAAGTATTCGAGCTGGTGCTGCAGTAGTAGATCAAATACATTTCAATAAAGGACATATTCAAGCATTAAAGGTATTTATCACTGTATATAAACAATAATAGTACAATGTATTAATTAAACCTTATTCTGTTATATTTGTACTACATAATTTACAAATTTATACTCAAAATGTCTATGAATAATCAAGCATACCTATTTATGTCTTTATCACTATAATACTATGTAGTACATCATCATCTATGTACTTGTCTATAGAACAGCTAATTCAGGTAGAAGCATGTGCAATAAAAAAATATTGTAACATTTCAGAACTTAGCAGAAATTGATAGTTTTTACACCATCAGGACTGTAGTGACATCTGCTGAAAATAGTAAAGGAACAGAATTCTTTTCATCAGTCAAAGCCAAAGCTTTCTTGGGCAATGGTCTGTCAGATGTGATAAATGCTTGGGTACTGCCCAATGGGGCTGTGATTGCTGTCAGTTTCCAAGTAACCAATGCTTCACAACCATTGTCTTTGGAAAGCGGAACTCAAAAGATTAACTCTAATTTCTATCTTCGCTATGTTGAACAGGCCCCAGTGTAAGTACAACTTTTCCTTCCCTATATAATACAGCGTAAAGCTTGTAGAACACATAAACAATACAGTTTTTTAAAAGCTGATGTAATTATCTATCATGGAAAGCTAATTAGATTTTTTCTTTCCAACCAGTGACTTTATAATGCTCTTATACGTGACTAATTGGAACTTCTAAAACATAAATAAATCTGTTACAGACCTGACACAGCAACATACATTCAGAAGCTGGAACGTGAAAGAGAGGCAAGGGAAAAAGGAGACCTAAAGGACAACAAGTCCTTCTTAGCCAAATATGTAAGTTATTGAGACATACAGTACCTACTAACTTAAGTTTATCATCATAAAAATACGTTGTTAGTCTGGTTGAGATAATTGTAGTCTATCCTTCTCAGAGTAGGTGAAGATTGTGGAATTTTTCTCTCTGAAAAATCTGTTGTACTAGATGCTTCTACAGCATATTTACACACAATATTTGCATGATTTTTATACATACGCCCCATGTTACTATAATAATTAATAAATAATTTTGTTTGTTTCAGTGGATGTATATCGTACCTATTGCAATATTTGTAATGATATCTGGAGCAAGCAACCCTGAACCAGCTGCCCAAGGAGCTCGATAAATTAGTGTTGCTAATTCATAACTAATACATACCAAATAGTCAATATATATGTCATATTATTTATTTTATAGATACTCCATACAAACATATTGATCAGAAAATATTTTGCAGTGTAAAATATGATTACGATGCTGTTATATTACAAACAACTGTATAAAAAATATTGTCTATTTTATATGTATAGTGTATGTCACTGTACTTATAAAAATGGATCATAATTGTCCTGTTTTCCTTATTGCTCTGTGTGTACTGTGTACCGTGTCAAGGATCATGTTCCACCAACATAATATAATTAACAAAGTTGTGATAAGGTGTGGGTTATGATGTTATCTTTAAGAAATAAATTATTCACAACATAAACTGAGTACTTATTTACATGCAAGGTAATTGAGAACACACATTACAAAATTAGTATTTTAATCAATTACCAAATATAATCTTGTTACTGTAACAATGTAGGACTTAATATCAAGCAAAATTTAACAGTGATAACAATCCTTATGCACCAATTTTCTCAATTTCTTCTGCATCTTCAATATCCAACAGCTGTATCTTTTTACCAAAATGACCTTCTATTTCCTTACAAATATTCATTGCTTGTGCAGAATCAATTAAATTAATTGCAATACCAGCTTTACCAAAACGTCCTGTGCGACCTATTCTGTGCAAATATGTTTCACAATCAGCTTTCTTGTCCATGTCCATAGGCATATCAAAGTTAACAACCAGTGTCACTTGTTCAACATCTATTCCTCTAGACAATACATTTGTGGTGATCAATACTTTTTCCAAACCAGCTCTGAAACGGTCCAGTACAGCTATTCTTTGTTCAACAGTCAATTCACCTGAAAGTACAGCTACAGAATGTCCATCCTCAGACATTTTGACAGATAACCAGCTGGCTGTTTTCCTTGTGTGGCAGAATATAATAGCTTGGCCAATTGTTATCACACCATAAATATTACAAATGGCTCTGTACTTTTCATCTGCATTCTTGCATTTAACATAGTACTGCTTGATATTATCCAAGGACTCCTCTTCTCGTAACAGTCTTATGATAATAGCATTGGGAACAATCATTTCAGCAAACTCCATGACAGCAGAACCATAGGTTGCAGAAAAGAACATCATCTGACAAGTTGAGGGCAAACATTTGTGAATACGAATGCATTGGTCTTGGTGACCTTGTCTGTCAATCATCACATCAGCTTCATCCAGAACAAATACTCGAATTTTAGTCATATCAAACATGCCAAACTTCACACCCCAATCAAGCATTTTCCCAGGTGTTCCAATAATAATATGGTCAGTTATTTTAGTTCCTCGAGGCACCTCTTCACCTCTTACAGCATACTTCAGTTTGATCTCAGGACAGAACTTAGCCATTTTTGCAGCCACTTCTCCAGTCTGTATAGCTAGTTCATAAGTTGGACTCAAACACAACACTTGAGGATAATTTTTAGTGGGATCTACTCTGCTTAGCATAGCCAGCACAAAAGCTGCGGTTTTACCAGTACCAGACTGAGATTGAGCAATCATGTTTTGTGGAGGGTCAGCTAAAAGGGTAGGCAAAGCAGTTTCCTGAATCTTTGAGGGAGCATTAAAACCCATTGCATATACTCCTTTCAGTAAATTGGGCTTCAAGTGTAAAGCTTCAAAGGTTTTGACAGAATACAGTGGAGAGTTGGGATCTTTTCTTTGAATTTCAATATCCAATTTAGACTCAACTAGACCTTGCCTTATTATTTTCATCAACAGAGATGTGTCTGCTGGATTTGCTGTGTCGGGGGAGTCATCAGAATCTGCAGACTCATTCAGAGGCTTTTTATTTAAACCTAATCCAGCTACTTTATTTGATATTTCCAAGTCTTCTACTTTTTGTCCCCACTGATTAGCCATCTTGTTGTCTACAATAATACAAAACAAATTAATAAAAAAAATCACGTTGAAACATGTCTGCAATAATAAAGTACCTATTTTAATAGGAAAGTATTATGACTATCTTCTATTATGAACAGTATTGTAACTTGCAATATGAACTATTTTAGAGTTTTATTCCGTCAAGACAGTAATTACTTTCAGAAATCAGTAGAAATAGCGCTCGTGTTGACGTTCAAGTCACGTAAACTAAGTTATCCAGTAAAAATGCCTTTGTTTGACTTTGTTAACGAAACATGTTCACTGAGCTAGGTATAATAAACCGCTATGGGCTACACTGAGATTAGATACACTAGGCATTATTCTTACCTTTTGATAGATATAGTGATATGAAAGTAATAATTATTACCAAACGCCCATAGAAATCTCAATCAACCGACCAATACGAACCACACTTTTCTTTACCAAAGAAAGGAACTGCCGCCGAATTAATACGTCATGTGTCACTGAGTCACTGTCAATGTCATACGCCATTACTACAGACAGACAGCCAAATATAAGGGTAGATGTACACATGGTCAGTCATCATTATCATCATCAGCCGGAAGACAACCACTGTTGGACAAAGGCTTCCTCGTTACAAGGTCAGTAGCAGACTCCAAAATGGAAACAAATCAGTGCTGACCCAAAAAACAATGTTAATTGATTTGAAGTCAGTACAGCAGCATGAACACTCGAATACATGTCACATGTCAGCGCTTACTTGTACCTTGTATAAATCTGCCGATACGCCGATACAGACATGCGTTGTGTATATTTCACTTGCAATACGGTCCAGAAGATAAAGCTGGTGTCCATGAGTAGCGCTGATCGCTTACAATCAGGTGATTCGTTTACTAGTTTGCCGACTATTCCATAAAAAAATAGCCTAAAAATACATTTTTTTGAAACAGAAGATGGCACATCTCTAGCACTTCAATGAAACTGTCACTATCAAATTTCAATTTGACATTACAGCAAGTAATCAGTAATGTCACTAATGTCAGTATTGTGGATTGATGGATTGTGATTGTGAGTTAACCTAAAAACTTTCGATTCAGGTTGGAAAATAAGTAAAAATAAATTAAATTTGAATCGAAATATATTTAACCGTGTCCTAATATGTTACGTAATTACCGAAAACTTCTTTTCAAGAATAATGTGTGTCCATTTATCATACATAAAAAGAACTTTTTGTCCAAAGAATACAAATGTACAGAAGCTTGGAATAACATGAACTCGTCGCCTGTATTTAGTAAGATCAATATTCATGATTTCTACAATGTGCTGGACCTAAACTATTCTTCAAAGGGCGTCTTAAGCGCCATAGATGTCGATATATTTGCCAACGCAATCCAAGATCAGGGCCATCTAGAAGAGCTTAAGGATCTACTGCATAAACTAAGAACCACTGCAGAAACCGGCAATATGTTGGAATCAACACAACAAGCTACGGTACGGAATTTTATGGAGTTTGGTGATGTAAAGGAGCTGGTAGAAATATTAAAAGATCCTCTAAACTTTGGTGTTTTTCTAGATGACTATACTGCAAATATGCTACTGGATAAATTGTTAACATTGAATAACTTCGAACTTGCTGCTAGAGTTGCTTCTTTAGTAATGCTGCAAGAGGAGTTCAGTCATGAATTAACATGTGCTTTGTGCCAATATGCTTGCTACAAATATATCACCACTTACACACCAACACCATCAGAACCTGCCCCACCTGAAGAGAAAAACAAGAAAGTTGAAGAAATAAAAATTAGAGTCAAGTTTGTTCGAAATCCATTCTATGATGATCACTTTGACATAAAAGATACCCTATTACTGTCTGGCAAAACATTAGCATGGATTTCAGAAAGAGCAGACAATAATTTAAATAACAATCTACAAATTATCGGATGGCTTAAATACAAGAAGTATGATAAACTGGCTGCTTTCACTCAGAAAATCAGCAATGAGAAATCATTTAAAGTATACAAGGAGGTCATAGAAGTTTTGGAGAAAGAAAATGCTGTTATTGAAGCAGAATTTAAACCTATTTTAGAAAACTGTATCACAACTTTAAGTAAAGCTGAAGAGAAATCTGAAGTATCATTAGAAGAGACATTGAAAAATGCAATTGAGAATGCCATCAATAAGACACATAAGAATGATGTTTCACAGCAGAAACAGGTACTTGTGATTAATTACATATTTGAATTCAACTGGTTTTATTATAATTATAGTGAAATTGGATCTCTTGATTCTGTAAATTCCCAGTATAGTCAATAGCATTAAAGGAATCATGTTATAATAGTATAAAATATTATGTTTACATGGGACTCATACATAATGGAATGTGTGTGTGACATTTAATCATATGAAATACCTCTTCACTGTGGGTAATTTAAATAATTTATGTTTTTTTTTCATTATTTTAGCTATTTGAATCATGGGCCAAAATAAGAGAACAAAAACTTCAAGAACAAGCTCAAAGGCTGGACCGGGTGCGCAGGATCCAACTCATACAGCAAAAGCAGAGTGAAATGGCAGATCAAGAACAAAAACTATGGTTCTTTGAAAATGAAGATAAAATTGATCTTGAAATAGAAGAAAAAGAAAAACTTGTTGACAAGACTGTAACAAAGAAAAAAGCAAGCAAAACTACTGATGAAAATTATATACCACCTGAAATTCTACCAAAAAGGAAGTAGGATTTTAAGATGTTAGAATAAAACATTAGATTTACATAGATGGTTATTTTATTGAACATTTATATAATATATTAAAACTTTATTATAATTTATGCAAGATATATTATTTAACTATGTTATTCGATACATTTTGTATTGCTACCATTAGTATTAATATGGAATGATACAAATAATAATTATGTAATATTACATTTTAAATAAGGCAAGAACTACATCAATAATTGCTTAAGCTTCTTCCTGGATCCTGGTGAGATCAAGCTGTATTTTCCTCAGAGTATCTTCAGTTCTCTTGGCAGTTTCAGTCTTAATATTTTCTTCTAAATCAACAATGTCTCTTGCCAAAGTACCAGTATCATTGACAAGGGATACAATTGTATTGCACTCGGAATGTAAAAGAGCTAAAAGTTTGTACGCCTTCTTTGCTTGGTCATCCTTTTTAGCATCCTGAAAATGTAGGTGGCAAAATTTACATTGGTATGTTGAGTTTAAGGTCTAGTATTTCTCTTGACGAGTAACACCATTATACCAGTTTGCAGTAATAGATCTTTGTAAGTTTAATGACTATCTACTTACCCTAAAGAGAGTTTCATCAGCTATAGAGAAGCATCTGTCCAATTGACCTTCTAAAGTATTTATTTCTTTTTGTAATTGTCTTGTGTCATCCAATATCTTCTTTATTTCCATGTTTTGTTTATCAACATTGCTTATTATTTCCAATATACGTTTTGTATAAATTGATCTGAAATGAAGTATGATTTGAAGTTAACTGTTTAGAAACTGAAGTAACCATATGTGTTTAAAAATAAAATTATAATTCCTATAAGTAGTAGTAGTTAAAACATTCTTTTAACAGACCTCTTATTTCCACCTCTTAGCTTCCCATAACTCTCCTTTAATTGACTGCCCAAGATTTCTTTCTTCTCACATTCTTCTTTCAATGCCTTTGCTGTTTCTTTCAAATTGGTCAAAATCTTTTTACATCTGCTTCTTTCAGGCTGGAAAGATCATCACTTTTAGTAATAATATAATACTATTTGTTGTTAATCAATTATGAAAGATAAAGTATTATACAAGTGAAACAAGTGAATTTATTTCTGCAAATAGGCTACAAGGCAGCACTTTTACACGTCAATTTTGTCAAGCGAACGATGAGGTTGACATTTCCTAACTGACTACTGTGAGAAGAAATGCTGAAACAAACTCAGAGGTCTGTCTCTTTTAAAGTCCAGACAAATATGTATAAAAAGATAATGTGTGAGAATACATACTTCCATCATGTCCATACTGCTAGCAATCTTATCAATTTCAACCATTAGGGAAAGGTTTTTTGAAGTTAATTCTTCACTCTGCCTGTGTAAGCTATTGATGTTCTTTTGTACTTTTTCAATCAAACCATCTGTAGCACCATCGGCATCAACATCAGTTACACCAATACTTGTGAGAATATTGTGGACATTTTTCAAATCTGCTTCAGCCCTTTCATATGACTTTTGTGCCTGTAACAAATTTTATAACATACTGTAAATGTGGAATTGTAATCAGAATACTAATAGGATTACAAATGACGTAACTGAGGATAAATTTTAGTAAACATTGAATATATTGTTATTATACATTACCTGAGAATATTCAACTTCCATAACATTCTTTTCACTCTCAAGAGTGTCTAATTTCTGTCTCAGCACAATCGCCATTTCTTTCAATTCTTTAAGACTCTTGTTTGGATCTTGTTTTACTTCAGGCTTTTCAACAACAGTCTGCTCATTTGTACTTGGTTGCTTGACTTGTTCACTTGATTTCAAAGACACACTAGTTTTGCTTAACTCTTTGATTTTTAGCAGTTTTTCTATTACTTGTTCATCACTCAAATTTATTTGACTCTGAGATGTATTTACACCTGTAAAAAGATTTCGTTATTATCCCCATTGCCGAATGTATACTTCTGGACATAGGCCTCTATAACTCCACCAGCCTAAAGTTGTGTCTTTCTTGAATCAATACTTAAAATATGCACTATAGTAATAATAGAATGTACACAATATTTTACCTATGGTACTGAAGTCTCCAATCCTATTAGAGTTTGGTTTACAACAAGGTGGGATCCAAATAGATTTTAATTCTTCTGCAATTTTGTTACTGATGTCTTGTTTGAGCAAAGATTTCTTGTTAGCCGAGGGTAGGCTTGCAGACACCTGCTTTCCTTCATTTGGTAGCCTTTCAATCAAAAACATAAACACTTGTCTAAGCTCGCATTCATTATGGTACAGAAATGTTTGATAATCCACATCATTCTTGTAGCCTAAATCCTGTAATTAAAATGCCGGTTCAGAGAAAAATTATTTGTTTAATTCAAACAAATTATTTTAATTAACTTTAAAATTATGTCTCACCTTACAAACAGATGCAATTTGAGAAGCAACTTCTATCCTATGAGATATGCCAGATGGCAAGTTTTTGGTTACTTTTATAGACGAATTTATTGCACTTAGACATGTTGATGCTGATTCAATGATGATGTGAACAGGTAATTCGTTAATATTCTTGATCTCATCATTGATGTTGCTAAAAAAATTAAAGTTTTATAAGAATTCGTTGGATCTGTTATTTTCGCAATTAACTTTTAGATATGCATTGGCTACTGAGTTTGTTTAGTATAAAACTAAAACAGTCAGGGGAGACCTACATATTTAATGAGCGAAGGAAATGCAATATAATAGAATCCACTTCTTCCATCGTCGCCCTCTGACAAGCCCTCTATCGAATCAAAGTAAACAAATATAATATTAACGTCTGGATCTGGAATTATTTTAAAGTAGATTATTGTTAGCAGTTAGTGAAAAATACTATTTAAAATTATAAAAATCATCGAGACCGCCCAACAAACAACCTATCGAATTTGCAGTGCTAGCCAAATGCCATTTAGCGCTTGTCTACATGTAGAATCAGGGTTGCCAAAGCTAATTCATCAAAATCCCCAAAAATCCTGATCGAATTCCCCAAATTTGGGGATAAATATCCGCTAATTCCCCACAAATTCCCCTCAATTTTTTTTTTATAAAATGATACTATAATCAATGATTTAAATAATATTTATTATCTTTTATATTTTTTCCATATACTAGTTCGAAGGGTTAAATTTGACACTGTCGTCCAGTTTTTTAATCCCTTGTAGGTTTCTAAATAATGATACTACAGTATCTATATTCAATCATTTGATAAAGGCAATATCAGCAATAATGAAATAACAATTTTTATGTTTGAGAACAGGTATTCTCCCGCAGCATTTTTCATGCAAAACAATAGCTGCACGAGGTACATTTTCATCTTTTTTCAAATCTTCCATACTTTCTCCAGCCTTCATACTTTATGATTCAAAGAAATGTAGTCATCGATAATAAACGATGAAATATTTTCCGATGAGAATATGAAGTCAAAATCCCCACATTTTCCCCACATAATGCCAATCCCCAATAAATCCCCAACCAACTTGAAATTCCCCGCAGTTTGGGGAATTCCCCACAGATTGGCAACCCTGTGTAGAATAGAAAACCAAATTATATGGAATTGACGTAAATTTTGACACTTGTCAGTTTCATCCCCATACATTTTGATATCTACTCTCACTGTAGACAAGCGCTAAAGTGGCTTTTGGCTAGAGGCCCAGATTTGATAAATTTTGACGTTGACACTAACTAGTTATTTATTTAATGACAATGTCAGGTCAAAACCGATTAACCGAACAGCTGATTTGAAGGAAAAGAAACTAACTTTTAGTCACTACCAGCCACCACACTATATTGTCCATAAGAACTTTGTGTCAATGTCATTTTAGTTGTCATTTGATGTTGACAATTGACATTTGAAATATTAGTGGAGCGGGCTGAGCTGCATTATTGGTTATATAATTCAGTTTCCAGTGTAAAATCATTAACCGAAAATGGGAAAACACTTCGGAGAGCTTGCTAAAATCCGTGGATTGATCACCTACAAGTTGTCGCCACATGAACAACGTGCATATGCTGGAGCAATATCTAATGGAATCCCCAACATGTTCCGCAGATTCCGTGAGAGTGTGTTTAAGGTCGCCCCACGTAAGTTATTAATGATATAAATTGCAAGGGTGGTCATTAAGTACCCCTAGAGGCGGATTTCAATAAATGAGTAGATTATCTCTTAGGTTTTCAAAATATTTTTTGAAGTTGATTAGACTTATGCAATTTATGATTATTATCTTCGATTGGTTAAATTTTGTCGCAATTTCAATAAATAAGTCTCATTGTGGATATTCTACATTTAATTTAATTAAAAACATTCTTAAATATTAAAATATCAATTATATTTCTACACAATATAAATGGTGAATCAATAACCCTGATGTTGCAGTAACTACCGTAAAATGGAGTGAATGGGGATCGAGAGGTGAATAGAGAGAGAAAAGGGGTGAATCCATACTATGAAGATTTCCTAATATCTATTTACCCCTCTATTGTCTCTATTCACCTCGATCCCTATTCATCCCATTTTACCATACTTAGAATATCATCTAAAGAGTTATTTCTCATTAAAGTATTAAAGTGAGTTGAACCTAATCTCACTTATTGATTCTACAGTATATTGATATATGAACAACCCAATATTTTTTAATGCAGTGTACTATCTAGCATTAACATCATACAAACAATCTCTAATAATAATTTTTAATATTGTTTTCCTTTATTTCAGCTTTCATCATTGGTTACCTCGTCTATGAAGGCGTAGAAAGGGAACACAAGCGCCTCGCACGCAAGAATCCTGCTGATTTTGAAAATGATCAATAAATAAGTGTTGTAATTAAGTAATCAATTATAATTTATGTTTTAGATGTTTAATTAAAACCTTATAATCAAAAGTTTTGTTTCTTTTTTTTCTCATAGAGTATTATTGGAAATGGTAGAGATATATGCATTTTGAAGGATATTTGAATTTGGTTTTATTTTTGAAACAAAAATTAAATATTTACAACTTAATAATAAATATGTTTCTATGATTAGACTAACCAACTTTAAACTAATATTAATATAATAAATACGAATAGCAAGTTTTGAAATCAAGTAATAGTAATTAAACCTATTATCATACCTATATCGTTTACAGTTCTAGACGCCATGCTATGATTAAAATTCTTAAAAACACCACTAGTGCTTACCCCACCCGGGATTAGAATTTAAGACTTTATTGTCAATTATGCTTGCAACAAGGATGTTGAAAAATGCAACAACAGACATTCACACATCAAACTTATGATTAAAATCAATAAATCTCAAAATCAAGAACAAACCAACTCACTTTGAAACAATATCAATTGATAAATTGTTTTGATATGAAAAAAGTATTTTTTTACTGGCAATTCTAGATTAAGAATGTGAAAGTTTCTAATGTCAAGCCTGTCAAGCTAATGTTAATGTCAATAGTTCATTGACGTTGCATTTAGCATTGCAGCAAGTTGCCGACGTCAACAGTGAACAAGTGAACAGTCCGATATAAATAATATTAAACAAGCGAAAAGTTCAGTATAATATCAACTTAAGGATTTATAAATACATAGTAAATGTATTAAACTGAAGACTATAAAACGGTACACTATCCAATACTACAGTTACATTGTGTTTATAATGTATTAACACGAGTGAATTTGAATAGAAACTATAAATTTAATTTTATTTACTCCCAGATCTTCATATAGCAAAATCAAAACGTCTCGCTGATATGGTTTGTTGGTACTAGCCAAAAATAAAAATGTGGTGTTGTAAGTAATATTCAAATCACTTAGGCACTGCATTGACATACAATTTGTTGTTGACTTCATATCACAATCACTCACACCAGTTTTATACTGAGTAGATTCCACGTATTTGCGATTACACTGTTATCATTTACTTTAGACACGAAAATAAAAAATTGTGTTAATTTATATCTGTGGCAAAAATCAAATTAGTAGTGATTTAATCAGTTTATTTATCATTAATTTGTTTAATGTGTATATTATCGTTTTAAAAGGTTCCTATGAATCCAACTGACAAACTTGCTGAGACTGTAGCAAAGTCAGAACCTGTATTGAGTGAAGAAGCAGTAGAACCTCAGGACTTAGCAACGGCAGCCACAGAACTTAATACACCGGAAGACATGGACAGTGATGGCAAAAAATCTAATAATCGAAGATTTAATAATTATGGTAAAAAAATATTTTATTTGAAGAAAAGATTGAATTATAAAATAGACTGATTTACAGACCATTAATATAATTATTTTCATTGTACTGTTTACAGGATATATTAAATATGTAAGCTTGGTGATATTAACAGTACAAAATGCAGCATTAGGGCTTAGTATGAGGTATGCTCGTACTAGAGATGTAGAAATGTTTTCATCGGCAGCTGGTAAATATTGTTTTTATTTTTTGTGCTTTTATCATCATACAATAAAAAGTATGTTACAGTGAACTCTAATCAGTGTTGACAAGTATTAAGTTGTTTTTATCATATTTCAGCTGTTTTAATGGCAGAAGTTTTTAAACTAATAATATGCATATGTCTAGTTATGCATGAATCTGGTGGTGTTGAAAAAGGGGTCCAATCAATGTACAATATAGTTGTTTTAAATATACGAGACACTTTAAGAGTATGTGTGCCATCATTTCTGTACATAGTGCAGAATAATTTGCTCTATGTGTCTGCATCTAATTTAGATGCTGCTACATACCAGGTAACGTTTTACTTGACTATTCATAGTAAATCTATCTTTATTTATAATCTCGATTCTAGAATATATCTTTTTTTGAGAAATACCAAATTCCAATACGATTTTACGAATGGGTAGGTAACTTCTTGGATATGAATTAATTATTAAAATAACTTGTTCTGTTTCCAGGTTACATATCAATTAAAAATATTGACAACAGCATTTTTTGCTGTTGTTGTGTTAAAAAGACAGCTCAAAAAGTGGCAATGGCTAGCATTAGTTATCTTAGCAGCTGGTGTGGCTGTTGTACAATTGTCTTCAACAGAAAAAGCACATGTCAAATCACATTTACCAGAGCAATCCAAGATCATAGGATTTAGTGCAGCTCTAGCAGCATGTTTCTTATCTGGTTTCGCTGGAATATACTTTGAGAAAGTACTTAAAGAATCAGACATATCTGTAAGTACAATTGTAACTAAGTTGTTTATTAATATTTAGACAACATTGTTTATTCACCTTTATTTAATAGCAAACAAGATGTGGTCAACTACCTACATGTTGTTGAAACTCTTTTATCTTTATTGTACAAGCAGTAAGGGTGATTATTGATTGCACTGCTAGTGCCACCTGTGGAGTAAACAGTTTTGTCTAATGTGAATACTGAACACTTGTCTCTACATCATTCTTTTAATTCAATTTGCATAGCAATAAAACTGTTTCTACCGTATTTTGTAATTACACAAAAGGCGATGCTCAAGGTCGTCCAGTCACTATTGTAATTCAATACGCAACTATCTGTTCACCACGACTTCGTACGGGTGATAATCACCAAACATGTATTTTAAAATTACTGATTCATTTATGCAGTTCATTTTATATCTCAATAACAAATCGATTATTAAGCTTTGAGATAACGTGTCATAACTAAGAATTTCGGCGGTCGAGATTTTCTAATAAGTAACAGTATTTGCAATAAAATGGTAATTATTGGGGTAGCAAAAATACAAAGTAAATTTTTTATGTAATATCATACCATGATAAATTGAGTTTAGTATTAGTGTTAATTTTTTACAGCAATTTTCATCATAATTATTGTTTCAGGTATGGATGAGAAATGTGCAGTTGAGTTTATTATCATTGCCATTTGGAACCATTACTTACCTTATAAATGAAGGAACACAAAATAATTTATTAAAAGGCTTTGATGGTTTTGTTTGGTATCTAGTCTTATTGCAAGCAGCTGGAGGTCTCATAGTTGCTGTGGTCGTAAAATACGCAGATAACATATTAAAGGGTTTTGCAACATCAGTTGCAATTATCATATCTTGTGTAGCCTCTATCTACATCTTCAATTTCAATTTAACTGTACAGTTTGCTATTGGCACAATATTCGTGATTTTTTCAATTTTCCTTTATGGTTACGTACCCAAGAAACCAGAGCCCCGGACTTCTTTAAATGTATGATCACTTTTATGACATAGGTTAAGCGAACTATATAAATTACCCTTGCTTTGTAGTTCGATTATCACTATTTTTTTTTATATTGCTTGCCTATTTCTATGAGACTTTCAAATTATTAATCTTAAAGTATTATTACCAGGGTAAATTAAGTGGTTTAAAAATTACCTAAGAAGATTTAACACAGCCATAACAAAGCTTCTATTGGGCTTGCTAAACTATAAATAATCACGAACACCCATTACAATTAAGTTTAGAAAAACATATTATATTATTTTAATAAGTATTTCTTAATTAGGCTAATATTCTAATATGAATATTAATTTTATACTTTTGTAGTATAAATAATAATTTAGTTAGCAATATAATCAACCCAATAAATTATAGTTTAATTGAATACATTAGTACATAGCAATAATAATTTATTTTTATCAAATTTGTGACTTAAACTAGTTAAGTTTTACCATAACTTGTCTTTAAAGTAGCTAAAATGATATTTTGATAAAAGAATAGGTAAATTATAAAAGATGAAATAATAAAGATAATAGATTCTATGCTAATTTATATTTCTAAATAATCGAATTAATAAATGATGTACAACTTAATATGAATTTATAATCTTTCTCTTCCTCATTTGTTCCAGCCAATTAGCAAGTTGTTGTTGAGGTGTCTGTGGATCTCTCTTATAGTAGTCTGCTGGTGGTTTCCCCTCTTCCAGCCTTACAAAATAGTGACTGAACTGGTACCTCACTTCACCCATACGACCTCTGGCATGTCTTCTTATTCCCTTTATTACCATTCCCTTATTCGCAAAAGATTCAGCTAAAAAAAATATAAGTAAAATATTATTTTAGGCTATGGTTTTGTGACAGAGTGTAGGCTTGTATATAAAATGTTATGGGTACTGGAAATTTTCAATATGCACAGGTCAATGGTGGCTTACGGTAGCAAGGAATGCTTGTGCGACAAGAGCTGTAAAAGGAATAAGACAAAGCAAACCCCTATGTATTCGTTACTATGAAATTGAGGACTCCTCCTTGATAACTCAGTTATCGAGTCATATGTTTTATCGTATGATACGCGTGTAGAACTGCATATGAACTATTGACGGAATCTCTTAATTTATAAGAAGAAGCCTCACAGGTGTCAAAGTGATGTATTGATAAAAACATATCAACAACAAAAATCTTTTGTTCTTAAACTGAAATAAGACATTATATAACAATATATTTTAAACAACAAAAACATTTTCATCTTAAATTATTATTATTATTATATACTTTTTTGTTAAATTAATAAAAAAATATATTTATAATGTTTTGACTTTACTAAATAAATACACATCAACTTACCTGCGTGAACCTTACTAAGAATATCATACATACATACTAATCTATACTACAACTATACAATAAATGAGAAGAACGAAATCATGAGAGTAACATTTTGTTACCCCCTGTACAAGACTGCACCCAATACTAAGTACTGAATACATATGGTTTGCTACAGGTGTATGAGATAAACACATAATGTATATTAATTTTTAAAAAAATTATTTATACTCACCAACCCACAAATTGCTTCTGAATTCAACATTGTGTTCTTTTACAGCTAGTTCTTGAGCTTCAAGTATGGCTTCTTTAACAAATATTGCTCCCTTTTTTGGTACAAAACTGAGTTGTTTTATAGCTTCATCAACTGTCATTCCCCTGACAAAACTGGCAATATACCACAGCTTTTCAGGACTGTATTTTATGTTGGTCTTTTGAACACATACAAACTGAAAAAATGAACAAGAATATTAATTGCCGTTTTATAAAATAAGGAACTTTTATGGGACATAGCTCCTAAATATTTAAAGATTCCCTCAATTAATAGGTATTGCTTTCATAATAATACAAGTATTGACTAACTCCTATCTTATAATTTCAGGAATAATATAAAGATGTTGAAGGCAAATAATCAATTAAGAAGATTATAATAATTAATTATCTTCAAATGGATTTGAATCTGTAGTCTAACTGGAATACCTAGTTGATATTATGTTACAAAGTATTTTTTTAGGAAAATTAAAGCATTTCAAATATTTTCCTGTTTGTGTTACAATGGTCATTAGAATTTTATATAATAATTATTCACCTCAAAGTTGTGTTTATTATGCCTACTTACATTAATTATATGATGAAAAGTAAGAAATTGTAATTTGTTAGTAGATGATACTAATTTAACTAGCATTATAGATCAGTCATTATGGTGCTGTAAGATTCATGTGTCCTTTATTGACAACTTTAGTGTAGGTATACATAAGATTATGCACCTACTTACTATTAATAATACAAATATACATTACACAATTTATATAACACCACCCCTAAGGATTGCTGATACGGAGCCGCGGATAAAGTATAAGGTCACCGGGCTTCGGCTCGAAGTGCAGGAGTAGAAACGGAGTGGTTTTAAGTCAGTAAGAGTCTGACACCTCACCCAGGCGGAAAAGACATTCGATGTTTTTACCCCCTTAAAACAACCCCTAAGGATAACCCACACAATTAACTCTATTTCGGATTGGTTTAAAATTGGTTCATAATTCATAACTTACTGCAGGCCTGGGTTCTTCATCGGGTGATTGAGGAGGATATATTTTTTCATTATATCTTAAAAACCTTTTCGGCTTGTTTTCTGTTTTTGACCATGCTAAAGCTGGCGCACTGGTGTGTATAGTTTTTAGCTGATTTGATTTCAAACTAGTAATAACCAAGTTCTTCAGGAAACTATTCATGTTAACTAGCAATGGGTTATCGAATCGTATTAGACCACAAATAGTACACTTAACATACTCTTTAATAACGAATTACAGTATACAATATTATCTATTACGGCTAATGAAAATTCATATAAAGTGAATTTAACCTAGAATATAGAGGGCCGACATTCACACATGAAATCAAAATTGTTTTGACTTGACATTGACGTTTATAAAAATAGAACAGTTACACTTGTCAGATTGTAGCTAAGCACTCGTCTGCACTCGTCATAGCGGGATATAATAGCGAGTCACAGACTACTTAGAGATACTATGAGTCGAGTTTTATACGCATCTGACAGCTTAAGTAATTAATCTTCGATTATTGGACGGCACGACCACAGATAGACTATGGAAAAAAGAAGCGGGCCTGCCTGACCGTCTGAGACGACCCATATCAATGGAGACGACTCAGTATTTTCCGGTCCAGAATTTAAGTATACCCATAGTTTTCAATCTCGGAATAGACTTCCTCTATACTTATTACACGATATTCCTCTATACTTATTATATAGTAGCATAATTAAAATATGAAAAAATAAACGTGCAATGTACTAAAAACAACAATCATTACAAAGAATCTAATATATTGATTCGATATATTTTAATAGTTTAAGGTAAAAGAACATGTATCCATGTCACGAAATACTAAAAAAAAAAATTGACGTTGCCACTTGCCATTATTTAAAAGATGCCATTGCCATGATTTCGTGACGTTCGTGTCTTCGTGACAAAACCGAATCTTCATTCATTACGAATGAATCTTCGTGTGATTTTTCTACAAATAAATATTTCTCGGGTTTAGTAAAACGCGGTAATAATCACAATATAAACGAATTTATTGTAGTTTAATGTTGAGTCTTTGTATCCTATAAAACTTGAAATTGCGATGACTGTTTTATGCAAGTTGTAACTAATCGCAATGTTTTATTTATTTTTTACACTCTAGAATCGAAGTTCATTGTAAACAATGTGTGATATCTACATAGCGGTTGTGTGTTCTTCGAACATGAACCGAAGTATGGAGGCTCATGCATTTCTGGCGAAGAAAGGCTTCAAAGTAAAGTCTTATGGCACAGGAGAAAAGGTTAAGTTACCAGGTGCTTCTGCAGATCGACCGAATTGTTATGAATTTGGAGTCCCATACGACGACATTTACAACGATTTGTTGGAGAAGGACAAAGTATACTATACACAAAATGGCATTCTACATATGTTAGATAGAAACAGAAGAATCAAACCCAGTCCAGAGAAGTTTCAGATATCAACAGAGAGATTTGATGTTATAATTACATGTGAAGAAAGGGTGTATGACCAAGTTATAGAGTGGTTTGGATCAAGGAGGTCAGTGTATAACCAGCCAGTCCATGTTGTGAATATGGACATACAAGACAACCACGAGGAAGCAACTATTGGTGCATTTTTGATAAGTGACATGGTCACTAAGATGGCTCAAAGTGATGATTTAGATAATGATATTGATGAACTATTACATGAGTTTGAAGGAAAATGTCACCGGCCAATTCTTAATTGTATAATGTTTTACTAAGAAATGTACTTGAAACAGATATTAGCCAAAACAAAACAATGCTTCCAATACCTGATTATTTGACTAATGATGTGACTGTAATCTTATTCATAAAAATGACATCCACGCTGCCTCATGAATGTATGCCTTCTATCATTTAAAATTATAAAAATGACAATGGTGTTGTAGGATATTATTATAAACAATAATTAATTGTATGTTTTTATGAATAAGATCTTTTATTATTTTTTCCCAACAACTTTTATAAGATTTTCAGTTTTTCAGCTATATATTGTTTAATATTTTACCTAGTATGAAAACAAGATTGATTTTACATACTGATAAGTGATAAGTATAGAGAACTGAATACAATTTTAAGTTCCAAGACTAATGTTCATAATGAATTTATTTATTGTGTATGTAATTATAAAAACAGTGTTTTGATTTTTATAAACCAAGATATTTTTATTTACATACAGACATTAATAGCTCTTATTTTAGTTTGATCCAAATAACTGTAAATTCGAGTATTTTATTGATACTAAACACTTAACATTCGATTTTTTGGACATTGCCGTCAGAATAGGTGGTACCTATGAAGTAAATGACAAGTGAGGGGAGAAGGCGCATGAATATTACGATGGGTTTTTCAAGCAGGTTCTCACCCTGAAAATATCATGTTTATAACGAAGGTAGGTATAATATGCAAAATCGAATGATATGGATGAAAGTTGTAACGAAAGAAACAACGAATGGTGAGCCACCCTTGTTGATGCTTGTATGAATGTGTTGGCAGGCAGTATGTATAGATCGTCGTAAGTGTTCTTTAATTTCTGCCTACCCCCGTGGCACTAATGTCATAAGTGTAAATTGTTTTGCGTAGAAATGTGTAATAATTACATAAAACGTAAATAGTTTCGACCCAAAACAACATGAGCATCACAACAACAGGTTGCTCCGTGCAGAATGCCATCAGCTACTAATGGTTATTAGTCCCGGTCAAGTGCCCAATGCGGAAATGTAATCGGTGTCGGTGTTACAGAGGAGCTGTGTACGTGTACGTACGCAAATATTAATCGTCTAATAATGGCAAGTACCTACTTGACAAACTACGGTAGGTACGGTGGCCAGTAGGTTGTACTGCTGGAAACTGTACCTACATTATAGCATTAATAGCATCCATGACTAGATTACGTGATACACGTAAAATAACTGACGAAAATTGTTTGCTCCATGCTACCTACATTATACATCTGTGTACCCCATTTCTTTTAAGGGGGGAAAATCATCAAATGGCTGCTCCCCCTTGGGTGAGGCGGAAGGGGGTGCCACTCTTACTGACTAAAAACCACCCCGTACCTTCTCCTGCCGGAGCCCCGGTAACCCGTTAGGTTCTCCGCGACATCTGTGTACCCCATAGATATAATAAAGTTTAATATTTCTTTGGTGTACCCCGTTGCGGAAAAGTCGTGATATACCTGCCTACATGTAATTTCGAAATTACATACAAGAATATTTTCGGCTTGATAATCGAACCTGAAACTTCTATCGACTGTACGAGAGCAAATGTCATTGATCCTTTTTCACAAGTATCTATTCGTATATAATAAATTCACAAACATAAATCACCTAGACCTGAAACAAAAATCTGTGGATCATACAGAGTTGCACCGTGCGGGAATTGAACCCGTAACATGTTACGAAGCAGCCGGTTTTCCAACTACGGCGTCAACCGTGTAGTAGGTAAGTCTTTATTTAACCACTAGATACTAATAGGAGGCGAGCGAGCCTATTTTCCACACCATAGACACCACTGGTGTTGCTGTTGTCTATGGGTGGCCCTTACCATGGGCTGACCCGTATGATCGTTACGATATTCAATTCAATTCATTGGTGTCGGTGCTATACTCTTTGAGGTGGAGATAGGGAATATCTAGGATCTAAGTACTGTAAATCTGAGACGTCGCATAGCCATCATACCTAGGTAGGCAAACGCCACTTTCATCATAATGGCGTCTACTATAATGAGAGTGGCGTCTCACATTTTCTCACACTTGTGGGTGTCAGCAGTCAGTCAGATATAAACAATATCTGTGATCACTTTCATTTCAGCGTGTAGTATTTTATATACATTTAAATATATTTTTCAATCTCCGCCATTCCGTTAGATTGAAATGAAGCTATGTACAGTAGGTAGTTTTATTTTATCTTTAGCACGGTTTCGAAATACCTTCGTGGAATCTGCTCGAATTTCTGCAAAAGGCTCTAAAGAAGTTAGCTGTTCCGACACACTCGTCAGTGTGACCATCTGCACATTTTAGTGTAAAATTTCAAATAGGTAAAATAAACCACTACTGATTTTCAATTTTAACTATATATTATTATTATACTTAATTATTAGATACTTATATGTATATAAACAGAAAACATAAATAATGATTAGGAATGTATTCTTTGATAACGATAAATTACAATTATCATTGCTAAGCAATAGGTAAACTTAGGTATTTTTTTATCTACTTTGTAGTTGTACTTGATTTCTATATTTGCATTTAACTTAGATTAGGTACAATGTTCAAGATTATGTCAGGTGGCAACGAATGCGAACGGTCAATCAACTAAGCTGCTTGAAAATCTTGTCTCTCAGCTCGTAATATCTGTTCAACCTTATTTCAGCGTATCTGAAAGAAAAAAGTAGCAAAAATTAATTACCTACTCAGCTAATTAAAAAAACTTATTGATATTATATAACGATTTTGACAAGATCTTTTTCATTTTACTAATAAATATTCAAATTACAGCAAAAACTCACCTTCCAAAATCGAAATCGATATTGGAATGTTCATATTGCACAAGCGCCCAGATTCCCCACAGAAAGTGAGAAAGCAACGACATTTGTTGAACTTCTTTGTAAACTTTTCTAATCTGTGGCTCTGTGGGATGGTCCACATCTAAGTACATTGCTAGGTATACTTTGATCCATTCGAATTGGAACTCTTCACAGGGATATCTGTCGTAATCGATGTCGTCTAATGATATACCTAGAAAACAATAAATATTTTTAAAACATTTTATGAATGAGGAAGAGATAGCCATCCTCCATCAGAGCACCTCATTGCCCTCGCCTCGTACATAGTAAACAGGATGCGAAGGCCAATCCAATGGGTGTAATAAATCAGACTTAGCGACAGGAACCCAACCACGAGGATACGGAAGTTGATGTTTTATTAAATAATTTTATTTTAGAAATTGCCCTACCCACAATTTGAATGGGGACTGGGGAGTGTGGGTACAAGATCTCAACTGCCTAGATATAGTGTCGATATAGTGACGTAGATAATCTGTCAGAATCTAGAACATTTTAATACTCACCAACAAATTCATTGAAGTGATTGGCTATATCAAACGCTTGATAGCAGTACGCTGCGTATTCATAGTCTATGAAAGATATTGTTCCTTCATCTTTGTTGTATATTACGTTTCCTAGAAGCAAATCATTGTGAGCAAACACAATAGGACTTTCGGTTTTTGATAAAAGCGTTTTAAGACGCTCGTACTCTATCCTTAGTTTTGTTATCGAGCTGAAACTATTTGTGAATCTATAAAAAAGAAAAAATAATTTTGTTTAGTTCGACTTTCTTTTAGGATCATACTCTGTATTAATATACTAATGCAGACTGAATCTAGCGATAAATAGAGCGATCAAGCGATGGCTAAACCATGCCAAGCTTAATTTAATAACGACATTTTGATAATGCGATTTATCGAGCTATGGCCAGGGAGTCTAATAGGTAGGTACTGCCCAAAACAGCGTATCAAGGCAACACTACGATTTATTTAATCATTTTCAGGGGATTTCAAAAGAGTTATTATTAGAAACTGTTTTTGATTGGTTCCTAAGGATTTGTAAGCCTTTCACGGACTTTGTAAATACCTACTTAAGATAAACGTGACCGATAGAAAAATGTGTTATCGTAATAAGGCTTACATGCATGATCTTATCTTCTCAAAAATAAGCCGTTAGCACTAGACTGTTGCCATTGGCCTAAATGCTAAAAAACAGCTTCAGATGTCGAAATGTGATGGCTGTCTACAATCTACAAATAGCTGCAATATCTTAAGACATGCATAATTTCATAAACGTACAAATTATGTTCAAGCAACTTACCTGGCTTGCTTTTCTTCCGATGTAAATGGATCAGGGAGTAAATTCAGAAACTGTTCAGTTTTATCCCATACAAATGGTTCTTTCGGTATCTGCAACAGCGTAAAATAGTTTTCACTTAATTAAAATAATTTTATAATATTTTCAGTTGGACAATGAAGACCCATTGATTTAGTTCGCAGATGGTGAGACCGGGGTCGATTGTTAGATACAGAGGCCATAACTCATAAACGACATAACAAAAGAAATAACTTTCGATCAAAGAAGAGGTTCTTTGCAAATATTCGCCGCCGTTCGATGCAACGGTCTATCGATGTTAATATTCGATTTCATTTGTGACGATAGTTTATGGCCAAAAATATACAAATAAACCATAATTGCGCTGAGAGTGCTTGAATTGTGATGTGAGCCTGAGACAATCAATACTGGTCTCTTTTACCTATGAAAATATGGTTATAAATATCGAATAAAATATATTTCAGAGAAGAGTTTCCGTTGACTTTGAATTCGATAGCGACTTCAAAGTCAACAGAAACTATCAGACGTTATTAGGTAGGATAGGAACAATATCAAGTTAACAAAGAAAGTATCAATTTAAATAGTTATGCAAGTAAATATGGGTTTACCAACACCTTATCTGTGGGACTGTATTACAAAAGTCTGTTATTATCAGCACTGCTGTACAATCATGAATGAATGTTTATTGTTAAGCGACCATAACTCATTCAAGTCTATTATCCATTGAAATCCATTAACAAATAGAGGTATCTACGTCATTTTATTGCCTGGCTCTAGTAGCTCTGCAAAGTTTTCCACGCCATCATTAATATTGATATGACATGATGGATGGCGAAACCAGGTGGGATTGTGGGAATGTAAATGGGTAGGAGGTAGGTTAAATATGTCAGAATCTATTGAACAAAACATTACGCGTTTTTATTTGCCGAATGAGTAAATAAAATAAGAGCAACGGTGCAAATATTGCCGTTATGTAGGTAGATAGTTTATTTTATACGATCGGCCTTGCCTTTTTTTTCGTGATCGGTAGCAGTTTTCTAGTTATACACTTGAACGTATCGCAATGTGTTAAATGCTTATTTATACCTTCTTAGCTTACCTAGGTAGCACCGTCTACAACCACACAATGATACCTTTTTTGTCAACATTTTGGCTTGACTACATTTTAGATTTGATTGGACAAGGCATTGAAATAAGTTGCGGTGTGACCAGACCTTTATGATGTTAAACGAAACCTCCTCGCAAAGTCGTAGAGGTGGGCAATGGATTAAATACGTGACCTTCGTTCAAAAATAAATAATAATAGAGTAACTAATAGCTAGGTATTACAAGCATGTAATTCTAAGTTTCCCATAATTGGTTTGTATTTCACGTCTGCTTCTACGCTAAATCTTACATTATTGTCACGTACGTACCTACTTAACGATACCACATAGGTACACGTACATAAGTATTATGTACGTACTTGTAGTGTTTGTGTTTTAAAACAGTTACTTAACTCAAAAACATCCAACTCAAGACCTTGCAATCGACATCTGCGCTAAACCACAAGGCCAACAATTTCTTGATACATCTTTCAGAATGTTATTATACTGTTATTTAGATATCAAAGATTTTACATTTTCAGTTCTTGTACCTACATGTCTGAATCTAATTATAAAACATAATGAATGTGCTCCTAGCAGATAAGACAATGAAAAGTACCTACCTAAATAATTGATGTGAGAAATAAAGTTTAATTTAAACTAGTAGATAACACTATTATCTACATGTACAAGTATTTAAAAGAAAATAATCAAGAATGTATGTAAAGATAAAGAGTTCATTTTATAGTCGTGCACGTACGACGACATTATAATTCTTAGTTGTTTTTGCTTAACGCTTAGCAACTAATTGTATGGCAAGAACTTTTTATCATTTGCAATTATGAGTTTATTATGAATCTAGATACTTTATAAGCTACCTATTATAAACACTGTGAAATTGACTGGTTTTTAGTCTGTAGTCCATTAGTCCACTACTTCGCTATTATAACAATAATAATTTATTAGCTAGTAGGTGTATACATGTACCTACATACTATAAAAGTAGGTCGGTATACTTACCTACCTAGTCGGTTGAACGTTATTTGTATAGGTACTAGAAACCTAGTAATAGGTATAACTAGGTAGGCAGACATCAGGTAGGTATTACATAACGATTCGTGTACTACCTATTTAACTACGAATAGGTACATAATTTCTGCACCATGTAGCTGCGCGAGATACTATTTATTTTCATACAAAATAGACAGACAGACAAATAATAGGTAGGTACTTATCTAGCCTTTTTATCGTCATCACATTATCATAAACAGGTAAATACAAGTATGTCAAGGCACGTGCGAACATGAAGCCCTAAATAAATAGTTTAAAGCAATAAGTTTTAAACATAAAGTTAAAACATCTTACTTATAAGATTAGATATAATAATAGGTAAGATAGTACCTAAGTGCTATGTTTCTTAAATTATTCGAAATTAACATTCCACGCCATAATGCCATCTTATAATAATAATTATTATTTTAGCAATAGCGCTTTCAAGTATTAAAAAAAATGCTCTAAACTCGTTCGACGTTTCGGCGCCATTTAAAAAATAACAGCCATAAAATTATTCAAACTCAAATAGGCGTAGTTTAATATAACCGATCAATACGTTTTCTAATGATATGCGATGGGATTCACTTCATAGATTACGATATATCAAAACGCATTAATATATTTGTATTTGAATAAAAAAATAAATGCGTAACGAAAATCGCAAGACGTAGTCTGTCAGTGTGACCTTAGCCTTGCAATATAGTCAAGAGCGCGAATGTGATGTGATATTTAAAGAAACTTGTTAAATACATTACTTAGAGATAATTTATTGCAAATCTATCCTATTTTCCAAAGATTATTAGAAAAAAGACTGAAGTAGTAAACTGTACTGTAGGTATTCATGATAATTATCAGAACTCAATGGAGGAATTTGTTATTGGTCAACAATTTCCTTATCAATATTATTTATGTTTAGTATATTTTTATACAAATGTTTGTTACTGTCTGTGATTATAACACTAGTGAATATTGTTAATACAAATTTTCAAATTTATAGTACTGTGTTCAAAATTGAAATAAAAAAATGGTAGACAAGTGGATTGACCTGGTGTCAGTACCTTGAAATATTTAGAATTCTGAAGAATGAAGACTTGATGACCTCCCTTCACCTTTTTTTGAATTCAACTCATTCATTACAATCTACAGAATAGAAGATAACATCCTGTCTCAGTTGTTGCCATTTCAAAATATGTTTAACAAATATATAACATAATATGAGATTAGATATTGTAATATAATTACATATACATACATTGTCATATGGAAGAAATTTTCCACAAATACTAAATGTACATGAGGTGAATCATACCTTAGCAAAAACATGCTTGTGGTGATGGCAGGTGATCCATCCAATGCAGTTAAGTTATGTTCACACAGCCAATACCTGGATGGGTAACCATTTATTTACTACACTCCCTATTCATACATATTTGTATAGGAGCATTCTCATCATGCATGATGATTTGTCTCTGCCCTATTATTGTTTCATGAAATGTGGAGTGACAAGTATTGCTTTAGTTATGGATCTATAAATAGTTGGTATACATACTTCTTTTCCTAGTTGAACTTTGTGCATTTTGGCCATTTGTGTAGCAACTAGTGGCCATATATTGTCGTTGGTAACTGATTCAATATTCAAGGTAACTCCAGGGTAGTATTGATATGCCAGGCCATTTTCGAATATTCCATAAACTTGAGGTGCTAGTCCAAGAACATTAAGGGTTTTGATATTTCTAAAAAATGATAAAAAAATTGTGATCAATTATTCAGCAATACAAAGAAGTCTCAGTAGAAAATGTTAATGAATAAAAATGTAGAAATTGCAAATTTACCTGATCTCAGCACTGCGATCAATAAATAAATCAGTTTTATTTCCATAAATGCGAACTAGTAAAATATCTTTTTCACCGCTTGATTCCAAATATTGACATGATACTAACTTATTAGTTATTCCATCTGTTAAAGTCTACAATAGAAAAAAATATAAATAAATAGTATCTTACTGGATAAGAACTAGGAATAAAAAAATAACAGTTTTTACTAATATTTGGTTAAATTAAATAAATTCCATAATTACATACATACCTTTAATTTAATATTTTCTTGAATCCAGTTGGGTCTAATAGTTTTAAGTAATTTTAAAACTCCCGCATACAAGTCATTTTCATCAATTTTAACTGGCACAAAAACGTCTCCAGCAGCCAAGCAAACCGACGACATCGCACTTTATTTATTGTAAATATTTATTACACAAATTTAAACCGCAAGAGCACAACTAGCTGCCATGAAGATCGCTTTTACAATGGCCTAATGTCGGTAGAGGCGTTGCGGTGGCGGCAGATAACGCTAGTAGTGAAACATTAGCCAGTGTTCAATTGGTATTATTAATAACTTCAGAACAACAGCAGCCTAGAAAATTTGATTCTTGATAATGATTTAACACATCGATTGAGCTTTTTATCGTTTTTCATGTAAATAGCTGATTGACTATGAATTTGAACATTTTGAAGTTTAATTTGACTTTTGTTTGACAGCAGAATGACTGAATTTCATTGTTCGCGAAATAAAAAAAAATACCTTGTAACCCTGGACTTTCGTCAAAATGAACCTTGTTTTTGGTCTTTACAATTTATTTGGCTTGGAATCAATGCAACCAATTGTAGAAAACACTGGTCATTCACAAATTCAGCAATTTAAATTAAAACCAATAATACGAAACGCAACTTTCAAATTGATTGATTTCTCAAAGGGCAGATAGATTTGCCATAATTTTATTTCATTACCTCTTGTTATTTATTGGTTTTATTATTTTAAATTTCTATAGAAATGGGAAGACATTTTGGTGATCTAGCGGTAATAAGAGGAATTATTTATTATAAATTGTCTCCCCACGAACAAAAGCCTTTCGCTACAGCCTTTGCCTACGGAATTCCTAACTTTGTACCAAGGACCTTATCTACTATTTGGACATGGCTCCCTTGTAAGTACTGTTTTAATTTACCTACATAGTTGTATATAATTTCTTTTATTCACCTTTTTTTCTAGATTTTACGTTAGGCGTCAAGCAGAATATTACAATTTTACATGTGGTGACTGTCCTCTACCCTCCTTTTCCAAAGAGTGATACTCCATTCTAGCTAAGTAATCATATTTTTGGGCTTCAGTAAATGGTGGTATAATAACCAGATCGATAATAATTTAATCTCCTCTGCGAGATTTTAAGCTATCGAATCCTAAACCATCAAATTTCTAGATTCCGGATTTATTAACCCTTATTCAAATATAGGGAAATTATTTCCCATCCGACAATGGTCTACATTTTGGTATTTTAAAAAACCTAATTGTTTAAAAAAAAAACCTAATTGTTTTTACATTTTTTTCAAATAGATGCTTAACTCTTTGAGTACCTACCGTCATTATAGACACGGTTGCGGTCACCGGTATCCTCGCGGTGTTTGACAGTTTAGTAGATAAGAGTGATTATCCGGAAAGTCTGACTATCCATTTTTCTATCTAAAGTGCTGGTACTTTTTCGAACCCGCGCGGTATTTATTGCACGAGCACGGGAGCCTGTCACCCGCCCACTGCCTCTACTGTCATTAGCGGCATTGGTATATTTTATTCATAGAAACCTCGTGTTTAACAGGTTTTCTAGTTGGCTACATAACTTTCATATCTGTGGAAGAAGGTTATCGCAGATCAAAAAGGAAGAATCCAATGGACTACATGTATGAAGTAAACCCTGCCGTACCAGAAGGTTGTCCACCCAAATAAATGCTTTTTAAGTTTTGTTGTTTTATCGTTGTTATTACAACAACTTCTTACATAATTGATTGTCATTTTCATTAATAGTTATTAATTTAATAATTTAGTTGAATAATTATTATTTTTAAAATCTTAAGCTTAATGTCGGAAGGAAAGATTTTATTAGGTTCTAACTTTTGTCAGCGGCTCCGCTCGTGTTCCCAGGGTAAAAAGTCGCCTATGTCTTACTCCAGTCCAGACTATAATCTACCTGTTCCAAACATCCCGGTTCTTTTGGCCGTTTCGATGTGACCGAGTAACAGACATACAGACAAACTGACATATTTTCACATTTATAATATCGGTTCAAGCTAATTTCGACCACCGGCCCTAGTTAAGTCCACTGCGGGTAACATATTATTCGACAAACTTTTTTAATCACATTTTTTATATTTCCAATGAACAGAATGTACACTTCGTTTTATTACATGTATGGGTAGATTTTTTTTAAGGGGGGACAATCATCCAATGACTTCTCCCGCCTAGGGGAGGCAGAAGGGAGTGTCGGACTCTTACTGACTAAAAACCACCCCGTTCCTGCACTTCGAGCTGGAGCCCCGGTAAGCCGTTAAGTTCTTCGCGGTTCCGTATCGGCCTATTGGACCCCATCTGTGGTGGTCTGACTGATGGCTCTTTGAGGCGCGCGCGGAATGCGACGCGCTTCACGCTCGGGTCTGGTTCTGGTTGGGCGGCGAGCTACCCAGCTCGCCGTCCGCAGGCTTGTGCAGGAGATCGTCCCGCGATCCCCGACGCCCGGAGTATCCTTCACGACGGCTAGGTTGTGAGGAGGCAGCGCTTCGCTGCCTCATGCGCCCCGCCTCCTCCTTAGCTAGCATGACTGCTTCGCAAAAGGAGGAGACGGCATCCCATTCCCCCTCGCTCCGCACTATGACCCGCACTAGGGCCGGATGCGAGAGGTCGCTGTCGCCGATCAACGTATATATATATGTATAGATATAGATTTTCTTTAGTTCGAAATGATATAAATATTCCTACAAATCCAAAAATTTCTTGCTGAAGACCCCAAACTAGGGGCAGGTAGTCGCTACTCACATCGGCTTGATTACACAAAGGTGGTACTGATGAAGGTGTCGGTTGGGTTAAAGATGCCTCCCAGATACAAAGATCTTATTATCCAAGTTTAACGATGACGACGTGATAATTAATTAAAACTTGTAGAGCTTGTTTCCGGACCTAAACAGTCTAATCTCATCTTACTGTATACAGTAAGATGAGAAGGACCAAGGACCTCTGAAGAGATGATTTACGTGAGAAGGCCATTTGTTAAAACGCTTTGTAAATATGCTCAGGATTAGTGCAGTCTTTGAGTACTTATACGCTTACATGAATGGCTTTTTTAATAAAAACATAGCCTCACACTAGGATTTTCTCCTAAGTCAGTACTTATATTCATCTATGTTTTTTCCTCTGTTGAGACTCTCAAAACGCACTCAACTTGAGAGTGCGTGTGAGAGACTGGACTCTGCAGTGCTAGCTTCACTTGAATTTGTATGTAGCCCTCACATGTATTGCACACAGAAAATCATAAGAGTTCTGGAGGATTGTTGTGGAGGATAGAGCGACTCGACTGCCGAACTAGGACTGGGGGTCCGTCAGAATGAACGACCACTGGGCATATTTAACTTCCTTAAGTTGCTACCATAATATTTTTAACAAGTCGGTTGATAAAAGAAGAGAAAGCTAAGGACAGTCATTCTGACGTGATTTTTATTTACACCTGAAGATAATAAATAAACACTTTAATTGTTAAATTATCCATTTACTAAGCTTTAATGCACAAATAACATAGTAATGGTTCAACCATTTTATTTTCAAATGTACAACATAGGCCACAATAACCTATAAGTATATAGCAGATGACATGAAGTGTGACAGAAATTGATGAATTCGTTTTACACAAGCACTTTCCGAAAGTAGGGGCAGACAATTTCTTGTTCAAGAACTACGCCCCACTAATCAAAACTAAGGGAAAATTAATTACATGAAAATGTAAATTGACTATAGAGATTTTCATGAACATGTAACGCAGGAAACCAGAGGATATAGGACTTAATATATAGCCTTACCTAAGTATTAATTTCGATCCTATATTATTATTGCAGTAGGTAAGTGTGGAATGATTTATTTTTGTAGAGACCAATCGAGTATAGAAATAAGGGAAAGTAACAATTCAATAAAATAATGCAGAGTTGGGTTTTTTGAAAATCGAAAAGTTTTATGGTAAAGTGTAATAGTAGTAAAGTTACAAGTACCTCAATAAGTTTAAATAAACTCATAAACTAATTTGAGACGATGGAATGGTCTTTATAAGAAGACAAGGAGGTGATGAAACAATACTTTTACACACGCAACATATCTGAAAACGTTTACCAGTGTAAAAAACGAGTTTGGATACTTCGAGTGTTATGTTCGTTTCTCCTCAAAAGTAAATATTTTTGAGAAGAATTTTGTTGGAAACGGGAATACAGTCTTAGCAATTTTACTACACACTTATATACGTTTTCCTAATAAAAATGCCTAAGAATGCGAGGTTTTATTTTCAAAGAAATGATGTCTGCCATGCAAAAATAAACTTTTTATGTTGTGATGAAAGACATGTCTATTTTTACATCAAAACATATGTTGTAATCATTTCAATATTAAAAAGCATTTTTAGATAATTCTGAGACCAGAATTTCGATCTGTGTAATAGAAAATCTACACACTTTTTGACAGGAATTATGATTATTGCTTTTTGTTAACATCAAGACATTTCCACTGCGATGTTTAAATTAGTTAAATGTTATAAGGCCAGCTTACAATTTTATTATTTCTTACACATTGTCATTCAACAAAAGGATCTCCATTTTTACTAGTCAAAGGTATAATTAAAATGCGGAAAATCATTCCTGTTCATCAAAAAGGGTAGGATCCTTCGGCAAACTGTGTTGTATTAATTAATGTAAGTATTGTTTTCTAACATTATATTATACCATTTAAACAAATAACACGAAAATCTTAAAATTATTCTATTGCCTAGCACATAGGTGAAATTAAAATATAGGTAATCACAAGTAAAAATAAAAACCAGTACTATCAAGAAATTCATTTCTTGATTAGGAATATTTTAATTTCACCTTTATAATCAATGTGCCCCTCGTATTAATTTATTGGCTATAATAATTATTAACTAAATTCAATTTTATCACATCACATGAAATAAAATTGTAGTTATCGCATAAAAATGCATTAAGTAGGTGTACAAAATGTAACCAAAATATAAATTACATTAATACTATTTATTACTCGGGTTATACGCCTAAAATTTGAAATGCGCGTATTAAAGTTATTCGATTGAACAAAACGATACGTAAAAAAATGCATTATAGTAGCATAGTAGAAAATAACTTTGAAATTGTAACCAGCCATTCCATCATTCGAATAAAAATAAATATTCACTATAATTTGTCCGTGCGTTCCTTCATGATGGAAAACGCGGATTGTGTCATAAAACTAAACAATAACACCAAATGAGAACTGTAGTTTAGAATAAAAAAAAAATACAAGGAAGGACATCTTCCTTCATACAATATCCTTGAAAGTCTTTATGTAGGAGTGAACATTGTGAATGGAGTGTAATTATTTAGTATTATGATTCAGTATTATATGTGCAGGTAGTATAAGGAGTGGTTCACATTCATTCGACGTCCATTTGTTCTTGTGTCTGCTGAGCGTCACTGGGCGCGGCAGAGTCAGGCTGTCCGTCTCCAGCTGTAGGGTTGGCGGGCGGCGGGGTCTTCTCTTTAGGTTTGGGTTTGTTTAATATTGGGTTTACAGTATTCTCAAAGGTCTGAAAAGATATATTATTCAATAATTACCACATTTGTTTCAATTTTGATAAGTATGACAACAAATCTATTGTGATTATTCTTAAACCATTTAATGAAGTGACTAAAAAGTAGAAGGGGATCACTTAAAAAAAAATTGTTTTAGTAATAAATATTATGTAATGGTACTAGTAATATCTGATTGTATACCTGTCGTTCCTGGCGGATCTGATGCGTGGTGTGTGGTGGCGACTGGTGGCGAGGTGTATGCGCGAGCGCCTGGCGAGCACTCTCCAACCAGTTCAGTGCGTTCTTAGCGGCTTCTGCTACTTTCTGTACGTCCACATCAGCCAAATGAGCGTACTTAATGTCGCCAGCTCTGAAACAAATAAAATGCATTTGAGAAATGTTTTACTAATTTATATAAACAAAAATGATTAAATGAGAACAAACATACTTGTACAAATCAACAGCTTTGTTGGCTAATTGGATTGCTCTTGAAAAATCATCTAATGCTCCAGGGCGGAGTTCGTACTCCAAACGTCGCTGCTTGATGGGTTCGCCTTCTGTTCTCAACTCCGCTAGTTTATCGCTATAAACCTGGAAGGAAACAAGTACTTAGAAGGCATTTTATTTTGAAGGACAACATATAAAGTTATGATAACCTCCTCCTTTTTGGGAAGTTGGTTAAAAATATAGCACTAAGTTCTCAAACTGAGACCAGATAGAGATGGGAAACAGCATTGTCTAAAACTCTAAATTATGATTAATTATTTAATGTGATCCTTAAGTCGTATCCCAAGTATAGGAATTTTTGGGAACCTTACCTGTCTGTGTTGGTCTTCACCTTCGTCATATAGCCATTGTTCGAGAGCGTCCAACTGGTTGACAAGACGATTGCGATTATCTTCCGCGATGAAGTCGTGGAGAGCTTCTCCTTCAGACAGTTTACCACGTAATTCATACACATACTCTTCCAAAGCATTGCGAGCGTCAGCACGTTCCTTTTCCTGTCGATCTTGAGCTTGCATTTTTCCCTGTAAATAAGAAAATTGTTTATTAAATACATAGACACAAAAATGTTAGTAAAATTTTAATAAAAATCTTATGATTGTATGTTTTACTTACCTCTTGTTCAACAAAGGAGTTCAGATCATGTTTAGCAAGTCCATGTGTCTGAGCATCAATTGGTAGTTCAATGGTTTTAACAAGAACCTTCTTGGTCTTGTCCTTGGATTTATCCTTTTTATCATCAGCATTTTCCTGAAAATAAGCGCCACAGGTTCAAATCTAAAAAATTAAAAGTCACTCCCCACTACCACCACTGCTTGGCTAAAACCGACTTTATTTATAAATGTGCACTTGTTTGAGTGCCCCAAGCAGTGAGGTGACCCATTTGCATTTATTTCATAATTCATTTAAATGATCTACATATTTACGTAATATAATAATAAAAATAACTCAAACTTCGTAAGTTCTTCACAGTCCAGGGGTTTCTGCAGAACGAAAAATGGAAAAACGAAAGAAACAACTTCAAGCTTGACAAAAACATGCGTGGACACAGAGAAAAAGTTTAAAAGAATAAAAACAAGAAGAAACTGCAGAGGCTATGTTCAGCCTCGTAAAACAAGAAATTTGTGCAAATGGACCTCACAATGAGGGTGGGGACGAAACAATACTTTGTGATGTCTGCTGCCAAAAGGTTGCAAAATGGAGGACTTAGATGATTAAAATATACGTTAGAATACTTAGAATACATAAAACAAGCGTTACGAAGAGACGGCGGGCAACAAACAACACGGGACTGGCCACACGCGCTACCGACACGTACCCCGCTGAACCACTGTCCTACTTTCTGTGTCCACGACTGTTTTTGTTGAGGCTCCCCCTTCATTTCGTCGTCTCTCACCTCTTGGTTATCGGGGCCATTTTGTTGCTGATCTTGGCTGGCACCATTAGTATCCATAGCAGCATCTTGTCCCTGAGAATTTTCATTTGAATTCTCCATTTCTATATTATCATTTTGAGCAGCATCTTGTTTCTTTTCCACGAGGGATGCGGAGGCGACTGTTATGATGCCATGAATGTTCACTCTCACTTTGAGTTTTACTTTCTGAGACTCTCCTTCAGCTGTTGGCTGGACATCTCTGATGTGCCATTGGCCTGTAATAGTTTAAAAACAAGATTCTAATCTATCTAAGAGGTTGGTACAAACAAGGTGCTACTCCAACATACAGTCGACTTTTACTAGTTGAAACATGTAACTGGTACTACCAGCAAAAAGTAGAAAAAAAAGGATAACAAACTTACCAATAAAAGTGTCTGGATAAGGCACCTGGTCCGAATAATAAGCACTCACAGAGAATGGTTCTTTTCTGTAGAAAGTCAGCATCTTTGAGAATGGCGCGGCATGGAAAGCGGAGAATACCTGAAATTACGTTAAGAATTTGTTAGTAAAAAATACCAAAAAAAAAACTAAGAAGTAATTGATTTCTGAGTCAGTAACCACCACTTTCACTTGAACAAAGTTAGAGTTAACTGTGTTCGAATAGTCGTCATAATATTTTATATTACAATACTATTATAAGTAAATATTGATAGAAATAATAGTAATTTTCAGTGTACAAACACAAGTTGTCATAGTAACAATAACCATTAAACCAAATTATTTCTATGACATTGAAATAACATACCAATGTCCTTGACATTGTTGATTATTTTGTTTGTATGTACTACTTGATTCACAATAAAGTAGACAGGTTAATATATGACTAGGAACTTTTCACTAAAGTCTTTTTCTTATCTATTTTCTATAGATTATATGCCTAATGCAAGATCAACAAGCTCAGTTTGATATTTTTATGGAATAAAAAATCTCTCAATTTTATCTTAAGTACCTTGTTTCAAGGTCTCTTTGAAGACATTAAAATATATTTAAATGACTGACCTCCATGTCTCCATCCTCTCCCTTGGTGGCATCCCAGGCAAGGCGCACGGCGTAAGGTTGGACGTCTGTGACGCTGAACTCACGCACGCGCACTGCCGGGCTTAGCATAGCACACTGCAGCGCACAGCCACGAGACACTGCTTCATCCTGGAATTTATCATACACATTTTTACAGACTGTAAAATGAAAATGTAGAGTATTTTTTGTGAATACAGATGTTAAAAAATGTTGGCTGCAAAAAATAATGTATGTGTTACCTGGTTGAGTGTGGTTGAGGCATGCTTGTTAAACACTTGTTCAATCAAGTTCTTGACAGCTGGGATTCTGGTAGATCCTCCGACGATCTCTACAGAATGAATGTCCTCAGGTCTCAGCTCTGAAAACATTGTTCATAAACATTCAGATCCCATGTAGATTGAAGAATATGATCGGAAGTATTCATTAATGATTTTGTACGGCAATGAAATAGTAATTCAATGATTACTTACTAGAATTGTGTAGTACAGCCCTCATAGTTCTTTCAATGCGTGTGAAGGTCTCAGCACAGATTTGTTCCATCTGTGAGCGCTGCATTTCGCTGGAAACGTCGCGCTCTTCCATGAAGCACTCAATGTTGATAGGAAGACGAGTGCTGTTAGCAGACATCTGCTTCTTCAGTTTCTCAACTTCTTGCAGCAGCCGAAGGAAAGCCCTGTTCATAAAAAAAATGATGAATTATCAAACAGTTCTATAAAATGTTCTCAATATTTTTTTTAATAAAATTTGTAAACAGTACCTTTGGTTTTTCCTAGCATCCAGCTTTAATCGACTAATAAAGTCTTGACAGAAATAGTCAGCCAGTGCCATGTCAATGTCCCTTCCACCACATTGAGCATCAGTTGATGTAGCCAGAACACGCAGCTTACCCTTGTTGAAAGCACATGCAGACACCTAACAACAAGATATCAGAGTTACTAGTGTTCAGTTCATACATAAATATAAAGTACGCACTTTCTAATAACTTACCTGAAGTGAACTGTGACCAAAGTCAACAAATACTACATTCTTGGGCTTTTCCTCTGGAGCAGGTAAATCTTGTTTATAAATACCATAAGCCAAAGCAGTTGCAGTGGTCTCATTCATAAGGCGTAATACATTCAATCCTGAAAAATAGATATTTCAATTAGTTATTATCTGTGAGACCACAGAAACTATGTGGTTTGTAGTTTGGTGATAAGAATAATTTAAATTAATATTGTATTATAGTGTGTAGTTATTTAGTACCTGCAATATTGGCAGCATCCAACAAAGCATTTCTTTCAGAGTTTGTGAAGTAGCTTGGTACAGATATGACACAATCATTAATGGGTGTCTGTAACGCTATGGTTGCGCTTTCTTTCAGTTTTGTGAGAAGCATAGCTGTTATCTGCAAAGACAAAGAAACATAAAATTACAGTCATTATAACATGTGACTAAATTAATGCAATAATAGCTCAGTGAAGCAAAGTAGTAGTAACTTGATAACAATTTGATAAGGAACAAACACATTGCCCTATGTCAAGGATGGTCAACTTGAACATATTTATGATTAGTATAGAGAGTACAAACTATTTACCTGTTCAGGGGTAAAGACATTGTCTTCACCCAGATAGTTGACTCTAATGCCGATTCCATCATCCTGTCTTTGTTCAACCTTGAAGGGGAAATGTTTCAGCTCTTTCTGAACATATGGATCAGAAAATTTTCTACCTAACAGCCTCTTGAAGCCAAAAACAGTGTTTTTCATATTTGTGACCATTTGGTTCTTTGCAGCCACTCCCAATATTCGATTTTTCGGTGAAAACGCGACACATGATCTGAAAATACAACAAACACAGTTGAACATAACATTCCAAAATAAGTCTACTTAAATAATAATGTTGTTCTATTATCGTTTATTTGAAAACAAAAATTGTATGTATTGATACAAATAATAGTAACTTTATAATAAACAAATAAGTGTAAATCAAATCCTTTATTCCCTGTTTCAGTTACATAATTTCAGTTTATATTAATGCTATTCAACTAAACAATTTATTGCTTAGTAAGTACTATGAACAAACCTATCATGGATGATATTATAACATTTTAAAAAAATAGCTATAGTTTATGGATTCTAGACATAGAACCTAATTGAATATTTATGAATTGTGAAAAAGGAGAAAAAGGTATGCTTTATATTTCCCATAGTTTAGGAGCTTTCTAGAAATAACTGTACATCATGTTAGAATAATGTTGTTGGGTTTTGTAATTCATTAATTTTTAATAAGTAGTAACTTTGGCAACTTGTAATGTTTTTTTTTTCAACTTAATTCATAAGTTATTTTATGTGACATATTTTTTCTATTTCTACAGGTTTGTAATTACAAAAAGAATAGAGTACATTAAATGATTATTCAAATTAAATTCTCATTTGAATAGTACTAATTTGAAATGGGAAATAACATCAAGTTTTAAATGAGGTCAATACAGCTATGTGTTTTAATTTGTAGCCAACCTTTTGAGTAATGTATTATGATATTACTGATGTATTGGACAATGCCTCAAGGATAATAAAGGTATTAACTTAATCAATACTTTCTTGACACTCGTTATTGTCATTAATTATTAATAATATCATAAAATATCCATCCTATCCAAATTGTGTGACAAATTTTATAAGTTAGCAAACAAATTTCCAACAATTCGAATCAAATTATAGAAAAAGTATGACTAACCTACAATGAAACATCAAGATTTAGCAAGGACATTGAAAATATGAATAATGCTCTATAAAATTCATGAACTAAGTAAATAATTAGATTTAGCTAATATTTTGCTTGCTAGTCGTTATTTATTGTTTCATAATCTTATAGGATCAAAGAAATATGCATTTCTTATAAGGTTTGAACATGACAAGCAGATAATTAAATCAGATGTTGGCGAGGTTCTAATAATTTGTCAATGGGCGAACCATGATGACAGAAAGAACCATCACACATTTTAAATACTTAAATAGCAACAAGAATAACAATGTTTTGTACTTACGGAGTACCGCGGAGACTGTAATCGTTGGCTATTGTCTCAATACCACCTGCTTTAGCCACAGCGATATAACATGATTCGTTACCGAAATCAATACCAATGACGGACATAGCAGCCATCGTTAACTAAAATTTGTCTCAATTTATTACAAGAACAATTAAATCTTGCTTATCTTCCGAATAACACGAAGAGAGAAACACGTTGCTGAATTCTACAATCGATCAATCTAACGTATAAACGCCGGTTTATTGCCGCATTAGTTCCTTCATTCGTGCTCGTACCCGAATTTTCTAGAAGTGTGTCCAATAGTGTTGCGACTTTCAGAAAAAAGATGCTAGTCGATTACCACCTCCCTTTTTGTATAAAATCGACTCCACTTTATCTCGGAGTAACAATTATCCCATTTATATCGCGAAATTAGCTTTATTCACCTATGTTTTTTAAAATTAAAGCGATTCAATTAGAAATTCTCATATTATTGTATGAAAACAACAAAGTAATCTCCAGAAAATCAAGATTTTTCGAAATCTAAGGATTTTTTTGTAGTTAATCAGAATATGAGGTTTTAACTTCGTGTTATGGCTAAATCGATTGTTAGAGTTGGTTTGTTTGTGCCCATCCATGGGACGCTTTATTTTTGACGTTGGTATGACATTGACAAAAGCTGTCACTGTGTGACATTTGACATCGAGGCCAGATGGGGGCAAAGATTTAAAAGTCTATAGAAGTGTTCAATGTGAATGTGTTTGATTTGTAATTTTGCATTCCTTTTGAACGAAACAGCAGTCTTATCTATCTACTACAGTAGCAAATAATTTGATTTTTAGTTTGTTTCTTCTAAAGGTACATTTTGCGCTGATTGTGAACAAACATAGAATTGATTTTTGATTACAAAAGTAATAAGTCATAGGTTATCAGAAATTCTCATATTATTGTATGAAAACAACAAAGTAATCTCCAGAAAATCAAGATTTTTCGAAATCTAAGGATTTTTTTGTAGTTAATCAGAATATGAGGTTTTAACTTCGTGTTATGGCTAAATCGATTGTTAGAGTTGGTTTGTTTGTGCCCATCCATGGGACGCTTTATTTTTGACGTTGGTATGACATTGACAAAAGCTGTCACTGTGTGACATTTGACATCGAGGCCAGATGGGGGCAAAGATTTAAAAGTCTATAGAAGTGTTCAATGTGAATGTGTTTGATTTGTAATTTTGCATTCCTTTTGAACGAAACAGCAGTCTTATCTATCTACTACAGTAGCAAATAATTTGATTTTTAGTTTGTTTCTTCTAAAGGTACATTTTGCGCTGATTGTGAACAAACATAGAATTGATTTTTGATTACAAAAGTAATAAGTCATAGGTTATCATTCGTAAAGCGTGACTTGACTACTCGACTCAAAGCAAGTAACTTTTTATAACTTGACGCCGAGGAGGTCACCTTCAGCCGTTCGCACTTAGCTATTGCATGACGTTTTCATTCGTATTGAGCGAATTGTATTCACGCTCTAAATAATTATCACTAAGTGATTGTAACAATACTTTCAGGTTTAACCGAAGTCGAGTTACCAGTATGAGCGGTGAACCCCAAGCGAAACGTACGAAAATGAGTGTCCTGGAACAATTAAAACAATACTGCACGGTGGTGGCCGATACCGGCGATTTTGAAGGTTAGAAATAATATTAAAAAAGTAAATATGGTATGTAAACTCCTTGATATTTCTTGTGTTTTAATTATTAGGTAGAAAGGAGATATGTTTGATGAAAGTCATTGAACTTGAACTTATATTCTGAAACTTATACTGTCTAAACAACTGGTTAAACCAGATGTTACCTTGTTGTTTAATTTTGAAACTATATAGATTAATGCTTCAATGAATGATGTAATTAAATGTATAAAGTATTTAAAGCACTTAACAGTAAGAGAATTGAATATTGGTTAAGTTAGAAACATTTGAAGGTCATGCTAATTACAGTTAACATTAACAAATATTTTTTAATGTAATTGCATTCAAGCTAGTTAAATAATTTAAGGTATCTAGAAAATTAATTACCTTATTATTGGAAATAACTATTTATTTCAAAATTAAATAAAGTTAATTATTTTTCATATAAACAGCTATGAAAGAATACAAGCCGACAGATGCTACCACCAACCCAAGCTTGATTCTGTCTGCGGCTGCCATGGAGCAGTACCAGCACATACTTGACAAAGCTATCAAATATGCCAAGGAGGTTGGCAGGTAAATTTCTATCACTACAATATTTTGCATTTTTATTCAAGGTCTTGCTGTAAAAAATAAATTATTGTCTTTCACACTGCAGTAATAATTTTTTTTTAAATTGTATGTGTATTGTTTATTTCACTGTAATATTGATTGCATAAATTCTTTTTTGTATTCAGTACTGTGGAGGAACAAGTTGCTGAAACCTTGGACATGCTGAGTGTCTTGTTTGGTTGTGAAATTCTTAAAATCATTCCTGGCAGAGTGTCCGTAGAAGTTGATGCAAGGTGAATATAGCACTTATTGACTAGAAAACTACAGAACTACTACGATAACAATCAAAGTTTTGTACCGTCCCAAACTGTGAAAATTACTATATTACAATTACGTGTTTTGATATCTAATCTTGATAGGCTTGTTAGTAAAATAACATTGAAACCAACAGTGTAGTGTAAACCAGACATAAATAACTGTATTATATAAATATCTACTTGAAACATTAGCATAGTAACTATCTTATTTACATACTGATGCCTTGAATTTCAGATTGTCATTTGATAAGGATGCAAGTATTGCAAAGGCTATCAAACTGATCAACATGTTTGCTGAGTATGGCATCAAGAAGGAGAGGATTCTCATCAAGTTGGCTTCTACTTGGGAAGGCATTCAGGCAGCAAGGTGATTAGTTATGATAATATGAATCTAATCTATCTATCTATCTGATCTATGTTATCTATGCCAGGTAGTGACAACAGATTGCTATAAGTACATTTTTTACCAACACTACTCTTGTTCTGGGTGTTGTAGCAACTGATTATAAGCCTAATGGACTACCTATTTGAAAGAGATCAAGCAACATACATACATACATACCTATATAACTTGACACCTGTCTCCCATGGAGGTAGGCAGAGACTATGGAACACCAATTGCTAGGATTCTTATGTATCTCTTTCGCTTCATCATCAGTTATCAATCTTTTCATGCATGCTTATTGGTTAAGGGTACTTTATTAAGCAGCACTCTGATAAACCTAAATGTTTTAAATTGCGATGATCAACCCACCTGTTTGACAAATTGTAAACACCTCTCTCTTTGTGTAGAGAAGTTCCATAGTCCAGCAGTGGACTGGTCATGGACTATTGACAAATGAAAATCTTGTGATATTGTCATAAGAACTAATTTTGTTTGAATAAGTTCTTAATGGAAGTTGTAATAATTAGAACTTTCTAACTTAATAAATATTGTTGACCTCAAGCAGTTCCCATGACATACATTGTTAGTTGCACTTGCAATGCATAACATTACATTGAAACTACATGCTTAGACTTATATAATACTTATTGACACAGGTTATGTATTGAAATAAATATCTATTAGTGTAAATTGGCTATTAAATTAAGACCATCTTACAAGCACGGCTCCGGCATGGATCCAACCCTTTAAATATGAATTTGAAATCGTATGTCGTATGACATATTTCATTACGTCAATATAAAACTAACAAAACAAACAAAAGGTTGTAAGCGCGCTGCCGTTTGTTTGTTTCCAAAGCAGAAAACGCTAGTCCACAGCCGTGCTGGAGCAGCGACGAACCCGTTGTTACATGTGCGATGACTTTTACTCTTACACATCAATATTTTAATATAAATCTCGACGAGTTCCTCTCTAACTACTCTGAGAAGAAACACTGAAACAAATTCAGAGCACTCACTTTTTTTAATTGTACGATGTAATTCAATATTATATTTTGTTTTTTTACAGGGAATTGGAGAAGAAACATGGAATTCACTGTAACCTGACATTGTTATTCTCATTGTATCAAGCTATTGCTTGTGCTGAGGCCAATGTAACACTCATCTCACCATTTGTTGGACGTATCTTGGACTGGTAAAAAAATTATATGTTATAAGTTATAACTTAACATTAGCTCAGAAAACTTTTATAAAATAAAAATAAACATAACATAACATAACATCACGCCTTTTTATCCCCGAAAGGGTAGGCAGAGGTGCACATTTCGGCACTTAATGCCACTGTACAATGTAACACCCACTTTTCACTATTTATGTTATGAGTCCCATGTAATAGGGGGTGAGCCTATTGCCATATACCGGGCACATTTTTCCAGACTCCGTGCTACTACTGAGATTTTTAAAAACCCAGTAATACTTTGCCCGACCCGGGAATCGAACCCGAGACCCCTTGCCCGGCAGTCGCGCTTGCGACCACTCGGCCAATGAGGCAGTCAGAGCAGTAAAAATAAACCTTTATAATATACTTTTTTTACTTTGTCAAACAATAACAAAGTCAACAGTCACAACTGTTAGTGATTAACTTAATCTAATTAACTTAATTTCTTGTAATTTCCAGGTATGTCGAGCATACAAAGAAGACATATGAAGGCAAGGACGACCCAGGCGTGCTGTCGGTCACTCGCGTGTACAACTACTACAAAAAGTTCGGCTACAAGACCCAAGTGATGGGCGCCTCTTTCCGTAACACTGGCGAGATTCGTGAGCTGGCTGGTTGCGACCTCCTTACTATAAGTCCGAAGCTCCTGCAAGAGTTGGCTGCCAGTGAACAACCATTGAAGAGAGTGAGTTTTTGCTATGTTTTATTTTATTGAGAACATACTATTTTTATGGAATCACCAGACCTCTAGCCTAGTCCCCAATCGGCCACCGGTGACCGCTCTCCACTTTCTCCATTATAGACCTTATTTCCGATGTTTAGAGACTACTTTTGTATAAACAAATGTTGCTGAATGCTAGATTCGAAGTGAGATTCCCAGTTTATTTTGTTGTTTTAAGATGAAAGATGCATTTAGAGTTTGGTCATAGGTTTTACTCCCATGTAAAAGGAGACTAATATCGTATCTGGCCAAAATAAACAGTGGTTCGCTACCTACCCTTTTAGGCAAAAACTTGCGTGATATGATAATCAATATTTTTGTCTCATACTTATAGCAATAAGTACCAATATTAAAATAAGTCATAGTAATATTAAAAGTACTCAAGATAATTTATATTGCTGATAAAACAGTTATCTGTGATCAATCACAGTAATTAGTTTTATATTTATTTACAGTTCACGCCATATTGCAATTTGTAATCTATCCAAGGTTATGTATTTTATGACGTTACGTTACTTCTATGATTACAATGGTTATTTTCATTTTACGGGATGTGGCAATTTTAATTTCTTGTTTATGGATTACTAGATACTTCCACGCGGCTTCACCCGCTTGAGAAATGATTTATCCAAAACAAAAATTATTTTTAAATACAAACTCTTCAGCTGTATACATATACATACATACATAACTTCACGCCTGTCTCCCATGGGGGTAGGTAGAGAGGAACGCCAATTACTACGATTCTTACATACCTCTTTCGCTTCATTAACAGTTATCAATCTTTTCATGCATGCTCTGTATACATATAATAGTTTATATATTATTACGCAAATCATGGAGTCTAGAATTGTGTCCGTACATGGCAATAGACTCACTCCCTATTAAATGGGACTCATAACATAAATAGTGAAAAGTAGGTGTCACAATGTACAGTGGCGTTAAGTACCGTCAATTATACCGCCGTACATCGGTAACGAGTCTAAAGTCGGTGTAGTTACTGAGAATGTTAAATAACTCAGTTCTACTTTGCCTGGTTTGGGAATCGAACCCGAAACCTTGCTTATGATCAATGTAATCACTTGATTTATGACGTATTAACCTGAGATATTTAGATGAATAAGCATTAGTCAGAATCAGAATTATTTTTCAACTTAAAATCTATCCCAACAGAGATAAACTTGTCAAAAAGATGATTATTAATATCTGCAGCTCTTAGGAAATGATGTGTATATACATACCATACAATTCAGCTGTTTACTATTGGTTTTATGTAAAAAGTTGATAAATATCAATAATATTTTTTTAATTTCAGGTGCTGGATCCTAAATTTGCTGCCCAGTGTGACATGGAAAAGATTTCTCTAAACGAGGCGCAGTTCCGTTGGCATCTGAACGAAGACCAGATGGCGACTGACAAGCTATCAGACGGCATTAGGAAGTTCGCTGCCGACACGAGAAAACTGGAATCCCTCATCAAAGCCCTCCTTGCTAAGAAGTAGATGACGTCATCATTTACTAATAGCTCTTGGGGTATAGAGGCACAATAGGGATGTTTCCAGCCAGTCAAATAAAATATTTTTCCAAATATCAAAATGAATTTATTCTATTTTTGAATGCGATTGTAAATTGTGACGTTATAATTTTGTAGCGTCAACTAACTTATTTTAAAACGAAGTTTAAAATCAAATCAACCAATGATAGTGTGAGTACTGATAAATCGAATTTGTTTTTGGCTTAGGAAACACCCCAATTATTAGGCTAAGCTAAAAATAATGTTAAGGAAAGATCTACTTAAACTGTTTTTGATATATTTTTACGTTTTTCTTTGATCATGTTTGATAAACTTATATGTTGTTTTTTTACAAAGGTATTAGATTTTTATATTCTGAAATGGGGACCACAAATTGTTGATACATTCCTGTACATATTGTTTGTTGCATATTGGAGGGTTACATATTTTAAATCATTAAATGATTTACCTATTAATTTTGTGTATTATTTGTTTGTACCATAGAAATAGATTTTTTGATATTTTTTAATTTTTCTAACATTTAACTGAAAACGTCGGTCTATTTACCTATCCTATTCAAGAACTTATCTCCTGAAGCATATGTGTTTATGTACTTGTAAAAATGCGGCAAGTCGACTATTACAAGTATTTTCTTCTTAATTGTGTGATATCTTGTGACTGAAAAGAAGAAAGAAAGAAAAATTGTTGGGTATTATTACCATATGTATTTTTACCATGTATTTTTACCATAATACAAAGAAGTTAGTACAGTACCTACATTTAAACTGTCAAATACCAAGCGGTCACCGGTGACCGCGACCTATTGTTCTTTAATTGTGTCTGTAAAATCGGTACTCGACGAGTTAAAGAGTTATCAGTACCCAACGCGTAGCAGTAACTTACTTACCTACACCATTATCCCACCATTTCGGAAATTGTTTAATTCAAAGGGCTCCTCAACTCCCCTTCCCGAAACTGATGCAATCAAATGAATTAGGTATTGCGAATACCTCCCTCCCTTTCTTATCTACCTACCTACCTTCACTTAGGTCAGAAGAAACAGCAGATTTGAGATGAGAGAGTAGTTTTACCGACCAATATATTCAAGTCGCGTATAGTGCATTGCTGTATTAGAAATAAAAATCGGTTTACATGGTAACTACTATATACGCCCACCAACATAGTTATAGATGTAGGTAGGCATGTGTATCCTAACTATCGTCTATCTATCTATTATCTAGGGTCGTGTTTACAGCTGATTGAGCAGAGGAAATGGATGGTTTGCGGATATTACCTTTACTTTGTGCACATGGCTGTTGTTTTGCATCCGTTTGTAGACCAAATAGAATATTGTACAGATAGTTAAGCGCCTTGCAAAAGTAATCAAGATTTTGTGTAGAGCCAAGTTTGTAAGACTACATACTATAAACGAATAACAGGAAAACGGTGTGACGCGTTACGAACTACGCGGCAAAATACAACTACAGCCGTAGCTCGTAGCGCGTAGATCTTAGATATAGCATAAAGTTCTGGGGTAACAGTTACCATTATAACATTAATGCTGCTTTCGTTATGCAGAAAAGAGCCTTGAGAACTATGCTTCGCATAGAACAAACACAGTCTTGCAGAGATCATTTTAAAAAACTCCAAATTCTCACAGTACCGTGCCTTTATATCTTGGTGTTGCTCAGTCATTTCATTAAAAATATCCATAAGTTCGAAACTGAGGATCAGAGACATATTAGAGTAAATACTCGAAGAAAGGACCTATCGAATTCCATACAGCCTAAACTTAATGTCATTAAACATGCTTCAAGAGTGCAATCAGTAAATATCTACAATAAGCTGCCTGTACAATTGAAAAGCTCCACTAATTTAAATGAGTTTAAGAGAAAATTAAAGACATTGTTATTGAGGAAATGTTATTACAGCATTGAGGAGTTTCTGAAAGATAAACATAGTTGATACTAAAATTGAGATTATACTAGTGACTTATTTTATATTTAGTATTCCAATCTGACACATTTAAATTATTTGTTGACATGTAATTAAATTACTCGTATGTTGTTTTGAAATTATTAATAAGTTAAATGAAGTTTTTATTTATGTATGTATTTAATTTGTGTATGATTGTGTTTTATTTTAATTGAATTGTATTGCTTTTACCTGAGTTTCTTGATTTTTATGTGATTATTTTTAATTTTGGTTCAAAACCGTATTCGACACAAATGTAAATTTGTTTATGAATAAATAAATAAAAGATCATAGTTCGTACGGCGTAGATCACAGTTCGTAGCGCGTAGTAGCGTTTTTCCGATATTGATCTCGTAGTCAAGCATATCGTCATGGTGGCTCTGAGGTTAAGACGCCTGCCTCTCATGCATGAGAGTGCCGGTTCGAAACATAGCAAAAGCATGTATCAATGTGACTTTTTCCGAGTTATAAGTATGCACTTTCTAAGATTATTTGGACACTACTGACAGATGGTGACGAAAAACATCGCAAGGAAACCTGGAGTTATAATTTTAATTATAATGTTAATCGCAAGCCCGCATTGAGTAACCGAGTTGGTTAATAATCAAATTTCCGTGGGAGAAGAGGCCTTTGATCAGCAGTGGCCACTTATAGGGTGTTGATGATGCAAATCGTGGCCTCAACATGGATAGAGTTTAAAAACTACACATTTAAATGCATATCATGGAGATGAATAAAGGAAAATCGAACTTTGTGCTACTCGGCACGACCGTAACTTGTAACGCGTAGCAGCGTTATTTATCTCAATCTCCTTACATTTTGATGAAAGGTTAGTAAACTCTTTTCGTGCGTCCAACGCCTAGTTGAGTCCACGGTTCGTACGACTACGAGATTTATATCGGAGAAGCGCTGCTCCGCTATGGGCTACGAGCTACGAACTATGATATACGCGCTACGTGCTACAGATGTAGTATTTCTCCGGGTAGGGTAGTTTGTAACGCGTAGCAGCATTTTCCTATTATTAACCTGTGAACGGAACGTAGATCTACGCGAGACACAATGTGTTTTCTATTGTGTCTCTTGTGTCGACAGACAAGAGGTTAATCTCAATGCCACGTATTTTGGTATAGAGTTTGTAATCTCTTTCCATGTGTCGGACTTGTCAGTTTGAATCCATGGTTTGCATACAGTGCTACGCGCTACGAACTATGTGCTACGAGCTACGGTTTTAGTACTTCGCCGTAACTACAGTAGAAAATTAGGACTAATAGAATGAGAACTGAAGATGTAGGGTTAGAGACTTCACTTAACACGAGACCTACTTCAATTTTGACATCGCGTTCTAAGTGGTCTTATCTTAGCAACATTTACATTCTTTTTTTTGTGGGTTAATTAAATAACGTACCTACTAAGGTATCTGTTTTTTATGTTTTTTTTTTTCGTATCATAGAGTAGAATTTATAAATGTTTTATTGGATTATGGCGGCAAACCAGCAGATACAGCTCTAATGGTAAGCAATCTGCATTAAACTGTCAAACACCAAGCGGTCACCGGTGACCGCAAGCTATTGTTCTTTAATTGTGTCTATAAATACGGTACTCGACGAGTTAATGGACGGATGTCTATGTAATATAACACTAGAGAAATAGGGAGAGGTAGAAGGTAGGTATCTGTTAAAGTCAGTATCTAATTGTGGAAATCGAGTTGTCGGGAGTTGGATTTATGGTAAGTATAATTTTTGTATCTGGATTGATATATGTATGTAGTTAAGGGGGTTAGAAAGTGATAATGGCTAATTAATATTGCTTAGACCCCACGATAGAAGTCGCGGGTAACAATAAGTACCTACTTGAGTACAACACATAGATATCAATGTACCTATTTATTCTTATATGTTAATATTAGTATCATAAAAAGTCACATTTGAAATTTCGTAAGTACTTAGATAATAGAAATAATAACCAATATTCCACACATATAAAGCATAAAAACTCGTAAAAATCTATCCACCTTTATAATCCTCGTTACAAGTTTCCTTATAACGATAAAGCGAAAAGGTATGTCAATACCCCTTGATATACAAACTGAAACTATGTATAATATCTACGTATGTATATCGGCAGTCTGAATTCGTTTCGGCTGTTACCCGCCTGTAATACTGAAATACTGAAGGGTGCTAGGCGCAGGTGTACTTACTGCCTTAACAACCTTTTAGGTTCCGTTAAGCAGAGGGAAAAGCTTTTAGCGGGTTATTTAGGCACAAACTTTTTTAATACTATGTAGTTCAATGTTTTTTGACTTAATAACTTTGAATTTTTATTTAGTATGTAGGGTCTTTCAATTGATTCATATCTACTTAATAGTGATTGTCGTTGATATGAATGAATATGTTTACTAAACTCATTATTATATAAAGAGTTTTCAATAACTAATAAAATCAATCATCAGAAATATTTACGAGAAACCCGTTTTCCTGCGTATTTAAGGAACGGCTACGCCGTGCTACGAAGTATGCTACGAATGCTACGAAAATCAATTATTTTACATTTCCTCTGATTTAAGGGAATTCTATTGTTTCGATGTTCAATTAGGTGGTATTCAGAGATTTTTTATTTAATTACCTATATTTTTAGCTATTATTTTTATGTTTTTTTAAACCACATACTTGTATTCACGATAGCATCGATTTTGTACACAATTTAACAATATAACCGATATTATTTTCGATAAAATAATGTCTCAATAAAGGTTAAGTAATGTTCAATATTCGTAAAAGGGTAGGAAATATGATCTTGATCTGAATATGATGAGATAGTAAACAGCGTCTGTTGTTGTTTCTCATGGTCTTGTTAATGTCATAACGAATAAGTGTTAACTGTGTTCCTTAGCGATAATCAAGAAAATTTTCCATATTATGATGTAGTAGTAAAGAAAATTTTCACAACGGGGTAAAGAAGGGTGCGGGGGCGGCGGAGGCGGAGGCTTGATATTGACCTAGATGTTCATTCAGAGTTCGGTCGATGCGAAACTTGACATCTGCGCGTTCCTGCGTTTTGTATTTTTCGATTTAATGTACACTTAACTCGCTCGCTTTTTGATTAATTTCTTCTAAATCATCCCGTTTTAGTGTGCTTTCTGTTTGTAAAGTGATTCAGTGGTCTTCGTAGTTTAGTTGTGGCGAGTGTGATGTTCAGTGCGATACTCGGTATTCCTTGTGTCATTGACGCGGTGGTGACTACCGATATAATGCCTGAGCACCAATTTCTGTTCAAATAGTTTCCGCTGTGCTTTAATTTAAAATGTCGAAGTCATCTAAAACGCCCCAGACCCAGATACCTGCAGTGACAAAGGATATTTCAGCCATGGACACGAAAATCGCTGATGTGAGTATCGACTACCGCTTAGTTAGATTTTCCTTAAAAGTTTTCCATTAAAACGCAATGGAAAGTGTATAATATTCGTTTTTATTTTTGATAATTTTTAATTTAAAGAGGTTTATAGGTCTGTTCGATATGTAGGTCACATGGTATATGAGATGGGTACCTACTTATATCACTCATGTACTTATGTCGCGTAACAATGACGATGTTGAGGCGAGTCGACAAATTGTGCTTAGCACCAGCTGATTCGTGTGTGACTCAAAGGTTTTATTTTCATGAATACTTTGTTTCATGTTGCCATCTAACGGACGAAGTATTAAGTTTTTACATTTATGCACTGAAATGTCCAGTGCGTTGCTCTTTCAAGCACCTATACATTGTAGATACTTTTACTTCACATCACATTAGTAATGGTGTACTTATTTCTAAAAAAATCTAAATTCCGTGTAGTATTCACAAATGTAGAGTAGGGGGAGCTAGGGTAGTTAAGTATTGACGCAGGTAGCTTCTGCCTACATGGGAATAAACGGACGTATAAGTTAGATGACTAAACTAGGGCATGTGGTGACCGGCGAAGAATGAACCACTCCATTTCTTAACATTTGTGTCAGCACCTACTCGTATGAGCTTATTGTATTAGGGACAACTAATTGCTTCCATCAGCATTCACTTAGTACGTAACTAGTGCTATGAAGTTACCGATGAACGCACTATAATTGTGTCAAAATACAATTTGATAATTTAATTTGTATTAAATTGTTATATAAATATTTATTTGTCTATTTCGTATGGGTACCTAGTCTAATTTGTAAATAGGTACTTAACCTCTGGTACCCCGACGGTTGAGTTCCCTCTAAAGTGATATTAGTCACAATACCTACATTTTTTAAACATTGATTTAACCAGGCTTTAGCGAATGTTTGCAAACAATAAAGTAACAATAGTTATAAGAAATGTATCCAACTTTAACCTATAACAAAAGACTTTTATAACTGTAACCATGATAAAACGAAAATGTGATTTTTAAAAATTGTTATACAGAGTAAAGACGAATTGAATCCGGAGCCAGCGGCAGAAGACGCTGAACCAGCGCGTGGCAACTGGACTGGACGATTTGACTTCTTACTATCACTGCTGGGATACAGTGTGGGCTTGGGCAATGTCTGGCGATTCCCTTATCTATGCTACAATAACGGAGGAGGTAAATAAAACTGATTGGATTTGGTCTAACATGCTACTAATCTATCTACATAGTATTCCATTATTTTGGACCAAAACGCTAACTTTTGTCGTGTTTATTGTAATAATATGGGTTGTATCTAGCTAAAGATATAGAATTGGTCGTATGTGCATAAATTACAGTACTTAAGTTTAAAATGACGCTGTGCAAATCCGAGAATAGTTGCGTGGGATGAACGCACCTAACAAGCACGCGTTGACCCCTTGGTATTTACGAGACATCCTGCCTTCGCCTTGGAGGATAATATAGGGTCTCGAGACCTGCTTCTTTCCACCTACTAGATATTTGTTCTCTTTACGTGTGGTTATGATGACCTTTTCATAAAATTTCTATTTATTCTGAAGATAAACGCCCATGGCGTGGATAAATATTATTCTATGAAATCCCGAGTATTTTTGTTACTAAAAAATCTCTTGCGTTAATTTTTATTCATCTTATTACTTAAACAACTTTCGTCCTTAGATCTAAGCAACAGCCGAACAATAATGCACCTTGTTTATTTGCAGGAGCGTTTCTTATACCGTTCACTGTGATGCTTATCATCGCTGGTTTGCCTCTTATGTTTATGGAGCTATCATTCGGACAGTATGCTGCTTTGGGCCCTGTGGCCGTGTACAACAAATTCTGTCCATTATTCCAAGGACTTGGGTACGGCATGGTGATAGTTTCTAGTATCGTCATGCTGTACTACAATCTGATCATTGCTTGGACGATTTACTACATGGCTGTGTCGTTTATGAGCATTTTCTACCAACTACCCTGGCAGAATTGCGATGCTGAATGGAGCACTGAACGTTAGTATTATTTCTTTAAAGACTGTTCATTTTATTACTGGTCTAATCTACAAAAATATTGGTCCTTTTGCGGATTTTAGTGACTTTACAATATTAATCTTTTTAGATTGCTACTCTTACGAGGAAGCCGACTTATGTGAAGCGGTAAACGGGACGTACTATTTGAGACAATGCTTCAATCAGACATACGCTCAGTTACACAATATCAATGCTTTGGCTGACGTGGCACTTCGTCGACCACCGGCAGAGGAGTATTTTACGTAAGAACCCTTTTATTGTTATATCTCTGTGTAGGTACCTAGTCCCTACTTATCTTTGTGAACGATTCAATAATAGTCTATGGAACTACTGGTCTAGTTCACTACAAATTCTACATTTTTAACCATCTCTTGAAAGTCTTCTCTCTTTGTCAGTAGGTAATATAGAAACTTATTTTTTCTTGTAGAAACCAAGTGTTAGGCCTCTCATCTGGCATTGAAGAAACTGGCCAAATCCGCTGGGGTATGGCTGTGTGCTTACTGGCAGCATGGCTCATAGTGTTTCTGTGCTTGTGTAAGGGCGTTCAGTCTTCGGGGAAGGTGAGTACCAAAAATTTTATCACAAATTATTCTATCTTAAATACGATCTTTTGTAATCAACACTATCGCGTAACCGTAAAAGATGACGTCATAAATGTAACATCCATTTATAATAGTCAAAGTGAACTTGGGAAATTATTGAGAATTTCAAATCTCCTATAAAACATTGGCCAACCTGGAAAATGAATCTAACAAGGGACTACCAAGGGTCGTGGTGGCCCGGAGGTTTAAGACGCCCACTTCACATGCATGAGGGTGCGGGTTCGAAACCTACCAACGGCAAGTACCAATGTGACTTTTCCGAGTTATATGTACTTTCTAAGATTATTTAGACACCACTGACAAACGGTGAAGGAAAAACATCGTGAGGAAACCTGGACTTATAATTTCTAATTATAAGTTTGAAATCGCCAACCCGCATTGAGCAAGCGTGGTGATTAATGCTCTAACCTTCTCCGTGTGAGAAGAGGCTTTGCTCAGCAGTGGGCATTTATAGGCTGTTGATGATGATGATGATGAAGGGACTACCAAAGAAGGGTCTTTCGTAGTCGTGCTTACTACCAATACATATACATACTCTAAATTAAAATGAAATAACTTCAGCAAGCCTAACAATAACACTAAAAAGACATTGTTCAATACTTACACGACGGTAAAAATCCTCTCTATTCAGAGTTGCCTTCGCAATCGTTTTAAATATTGACATGAAAATTCAACACAGCATCAATTGATATAAGTAGTATTTCTCAGCATTGTCTTACTTTTCAATAATACAGTACTTGACACTTCCCGACGTTATTTAAGTAACTTTCGTTCCAATGACAATAACATACCTATCAGGTGAACCATGACATGTTTTGGGAACTTACTTCCCAAAGAAGGTATTCAAAACATTTCATGTTACTTTATATAAATCTTCCGTTACTTAATTCTTAAACAACTAACGAATCTTTTACATTTGTATAGGTAATTTTAAAATGGTTTCTTTGATTTTTATCAATGAATAAGGTAAAATGGAATGTGATGAAAAACTACTTAATGTGGTATCTGAAACTGTGTTGACGTCTGTTAGCCCTTAGATGTTTTAAAGTTGGATAAACTACATAATGTGTAGTAATTAAGGAGTTTTATAGGCTCTTATTACGTAAGGCTTCAATGTTTATACAGTTTCTCAAGTCTGTAGTCTCTAAATTTACTTTTTTATTCCAGGTTGTGTATTTCACGGCACTTTTCCCGTACGTCGTGCTGGTTATTTTGTTCTTCCGTGGAGTAACGTTACCTGGCGCATCGACCGGAATCCTTTTCTATTTGACACCTGACTTCAGCCAACTTCTAAACGCTCAGGTAGGTCAAGAATATTTCACTAAAGTTTTTTTTTATAGCTTAAGTCGGTAAACAAGCAGACGGATCACCTGATGGTAAGCAATCGACACCCGAAACACCAAGGCGTTGCAAGTGCGTTACCGGTCTTTTGGGAGTTGGGAATTTGAGACTTGTGGAGGATTCGGGGATTCGGGAGACTAGGGTAACCTCACTCACACGACGAAACACAACGCAAGCGTTGTTTCACGTCGGTTTTCTGTGCGGCTGTGGTATCACTCCGGTCGAGCCGGCCTATTCGTGCCGAAGCATGGCTCTCCCACACTTTAAGAGTAAAAGTTATACCTACTTACTACTTTTCTAGGAAACCTATAACATTGAATATCTATTTCAGGTTTGGGGTGACGCCGCTGTACAAATATTTTTCGCGCTGAGTCCCGCTTGGGGTGGTCTTATTACACTTTCATCTTACAACAAGTTTTCCAACAATTGCTACATGTAAGTGAATTTTTTTTCATTTTGTTATCTTTTAACGTATTTAATGAAACATATAAAGAGAGAGACGGACCTCTAAGTTTGTTTCGGCATTTCTTCTCAGAGTAGTCAGTTAGGTAATGTCGACCTCATCGTTCGCTTAATAAAATTGACGTGTAAAAGTGCTGCCTTGTAGCCTATTTGCAGAAATAAATTCACTTGTTTCACTATAAGTTCACGTTTACATTTCTTTTGCAGAGATTCCTTGATCGTTGCCGTGTCAAATATTTTAACATCTTTCTTCGCTGGTCTGGTCATATTCTCTGTAATCGGATTTCTGGCTCATGAGTTGAATGTGGAGGTTGACCGAGTAGTTGACCAGGGCGCTGGACTTGCTTTCATCGTGTATCCCGAAGTAGTCACTCGGCTGCCCGTATCACCACTTTGGTCTATACTATTCTTTGTCATGCTACTTACTCTGGGCCTCGATTCACAGGTAAAAACCAGCTCTTAGTTATAATATAATATTGTTTTTTTTATCCAAACCAACCTTTTCTACATTTTAAACCAAATTAATATTTTACATTTTAGTTTGCACTCATGGAAACAGTTACAACGGCAATATTGGACAGGTTTCCTAATTTCCGCCAGAAGAAAGTGTGGGTCGTGTTGACAGTTGCTGTTTTTGGATATCTCGGTGGACTTATTTTCACAACCAATGTAAGATTTTTCTTTAAAGTAACATTACATTATATTTTATTGGGTATCATTTCATTTATTTTATAAATCATTATTATTTTTCAGAGTGGTATGTACTGGTTACAATTAATGGACAAGTACGCTGCAAATTGGTCTGTTTTGATCATAGCAATTGGCGAGTGCATTCTTATAGCTTGGATATACGGGGCAGAAAAGTTCTGTGGTGACATTCAGCGGATGATCGGACGCCAGACCAAGTTGTGGGTGTTCTTTTGGAGCGCTATGTGGCGTATTATTACACCAGCCGCTTTAGTGGTACGTATATTTTAATTTATTAAGGATAAACTATTTGTGATTATTACTTATTAGTCATTTTAGAGTATGATAAAATATTTCTATTTTTTGCTCATCTACAGTTCATCCTGGTGTTCAACTGGATTGAGTACAAACCAGCTTCATACGGCTACTATGTGTACCCGATGTGGGCCGATGCTGTCGGTTGGATCCTGGGTGTACTACCTGTCATTGTTGTTGTGTTAATGGCCATCGATCAGATCTGTAGCGGACCCGACGATCTTACCATTATGGAGGTAACTATATATTTGTATTGAGTTACAGAAATCGTTTCTTTTTTCAGATATTATGTTCAATTTACAATATGGTGTAATGGTTTGTTGACATATTTATTATCGTGATCGCAGAAAGCAAGAGCGCTGTCTCGTCCCACGGAGGAGTGGGGTCCATCGGCGACTGCTGTGATGCGACATGAGACGGAGCTGTCGCCCCCAGTTCTACTGCTTCACGGCCGTCCCGTGCTTCGTGAACGCGGTGCTTGACCCCCGCATACTCATCCGCTTGTTGCCATGCGGAAGGTAAATATACTAATCAAATTTATAAATATATACACTCGAAAACAAATTTCGAATTACTTAAATTAACTTTTCCACTGATTTTCCTGTAGACATCACAAGATGGTGGAGATTCAACCTCTATTACAAGTGGAATAGAAAATGAAATTAAAAAGCCTGGAGCAATTGGAAAAACAAAAAGGAATTCCATTAAACGAAAAGCGCAGAATTTCAGCCATGAATCTGATGATGCCGTCATTGAGCCACTCTTACAGAAAGATAAAGAAAAGCCCGAAACTACAAAGCCAAGTGCCAAATTTAACCTTTTGTCAAAAACTAAGACTGACGATTTGAGTGAAAAAGGAACCGATAAGGACAAACTAATAACGAATGACAAACTGCAGAAGTCAGGTATATCGAATACTTCTGATATCACTGACAAAATATTATCTTCTTCTAATTCGAAAGAAAACAATATACCTAAAATAACAAGTGCCAATGCTCCTTTACATAATCACATGAATACCAACGTATTTGGTTCACCTGATGGCTTAAAAGGATTTGTTGCACCAAAAAGCCAAATTTTAGTAGAGATTGATGGTTGTAAACAGGTCGGCTATAATCCAAGTCCATTAATATTCACAACAGCGAAAATACATACTGATGGAAAAACAAAACACATGGAACCGGTTCAAGTAACTCCAGTACCAATTCTGTCAACGATTGAAGTGAGTGTCTTGAAAAGTGGAGGCACTGCATCTGAAAACTCTGGTCAAGTAAGCTCCAATATCAGTACAGTATATGCGATCCCTCATAGTAGCAAAAATATAATAGAACCAACCTACAAAGCCGTTAATAATATACCAACGACACAAAATAAAGCAGTTATTGACAACAAGATCTCTAGTATAATAAGCACTGAATTAGATAAGACCTCAAAAGTATTATCATCTAGCAAAGAAGTAAAACCAACACCATCTAAAGTATCTCCTACCGGAATACCAGATAATACGTCGGGGAATAAAAGCTTTACTAAAGAAAATAAATCAGAGAAAGATGAGAAACATATAAAACCACCTATATCACAGGTTGGTAATTATAGTGATGTCAAAGCTATATCGGTTGCTACGACGAAATCTGTCCCAACTAATAATTCTATGAAAGATAGTGGAGTGTTTGATAAAACTAAAGATAAGTTAGAAACACTTCGGCAATCTGAACATAAAATTGATTCGATTAAGACTGCTAAACTAGAAAGCACCGACTCACAAAAAAACAAAGAACGTGATGACATTAAGACAAGTAAGGACAAAATTAAAGAAACTTCAAATACTTCCACTAGTAACAGGCAATTGCAGCGCCAAAGTATCATAGACAAGGAAGATATGATATCGAATATAAAACCAGCTAACGATTTCAAAAGCACAATTAAATCAGTTGATACTCAAAAGAATAAATCAGCAGATAGTCAAAAGTCCTCTAAAATTGAAACCAGTGACAAAACTAAATTGCCAAAGCTCAGTGCCAATAGTATTCCAGTTACTAATGTACCAAATAATAACAACACTAATACTAATATAGCACCTACTTTATCCACAAATGTAAATAAAAATGTTAGTGCCAATAAATCATCAATTCCTTCATCTGTTGTAAAATCACCTAATCCAACAACTAAAAACTTGTCGGAAGGTAAATCACCCGCTACAATAACTACAACTTCATCTGCTGGCAAAATATCTACTTCAGCAACTACCCCGTTAACTACCAATAAAACGATGATATCAACAATGAGTTCGTCGGATGCAACTGTATCGACAATCAATAAAAATATGTTTACTCCTGTCTCTACAACCGCTCCTGTAAAAAAGACATCTGTCCCCAGCACCACAGTTTCGTTGACCAATAAAACAGTGCCTGCATCGATGACAGCAGCTTCTAATAAAGTTACCGTTCCGTCAACTATAAAGACAGACAATAAATCAGCTATTGCATCCACAGCTATAACTAACGCTCCGAGTAACAAGACATCTCAGTCAATAACATCTTCAGGAGCAAATAAGGGATATAATCCTATAGTTACTACATCAACGGTTAAAATGACTTCAGGGCCTCATACCACGACGACAGTCGACAAAACCACCACATCGAATTCAATTTCATCAGCCAAATCTATTACTTCGAACACTGCTTTAGCAAAACCGACTGCTACAAATGCGTCTTCAGTTTCAAAAACTTTAAATACTGAAAAATCATCTGTTACTGCTACTTCTGGAAACATCAAACCAGAGGTAACGAAAGCAAGCTCCCTTGTTAAATCACAAGAAACAAGTATTCAATCCAAACCTACGAGTTCAGTAACTACTACGAAACCATCAAAAAATTCATCATCTGTAACTCCTGTAACCACTTCTCAAAGGATTGATACAACTAAATCACAGAATACAATAACGACAGCGAAACCGGTATCAAGTAAAACAATTCCACAGACCATAGTAGATAAATCAACAGACGTCGCACCAAAGAGCTCGACAAGCAACGAAAAACCTTTATCAGTAAAAAGTAGTGGCACATCAACAACTTTAGCTACAACGAGTGGAGTGTCAAACGTTACAGTCACTGCTGCTGCAACTTCTTCTACCTTGGCTTCTTCTGGATCATCATCGAAAACTACCGAAGGAAATAAACAAAATGAATCAAAGTCGAAAGAATTAAGTAATGGTAGCAAAAGTTTAAAAGCTTAACAGTTATTACGAAATGAGTTTGGGTTTTTAGGAGGTATACAAGTGGCTCAATCCATAGTTGTAATGATAATAATTAATTTGTATAACGAAGTATTCCAAAATTTATCACAAGGTATAATGTACAATCTAGTCATCAAGATGCTTGTATTCTAGGTTGCACAACTCACTTTTCTTATGATATAGATATTTCCTTATTCCTCGCTCAGCGTAGTGGAATAGTGTGTTATAAATAGCTGTAAATACCTATCATAGTACATTATGTGAACTGAATGGTCAATGTGTCTAATCTTCTGTATGCATGAAATCATACTAATAATTATATTAGGTACTTAGTTAAAGGTGCGTGTTGGAGTAGAAATATTTGTAGGTAAAGGTTGACCCGTGTAACACGTGTATTTGCTCATGGTAAATAAATGAAAGGAATTGAAAAGTTTATAAAAAACTGTTAATTATACTTTGAATAGAAAAATAATTACTTAATTTAAATCAGAATTTTTACCTTCCAAGTGCCATTTCGAAGCCTGTGTGAAAATATGCATAGCAATATTACCGATTAGTTACCAAAACATGGAATGTTATACGTTGACGGACATACGGACGGTAGGTTAGTGGTGCTAAGAAAGACATATTTTTCATAGACAATATTATTATTATATTTTCGATACCATTTAGAGATGAATACCTAGTTTCATCTCACAGTGTCAATTTATATCATTATTAAATTGATGTGTATCTATCATTGACAACCAGAAATGAAGTAAATAAAATATAATATCTACTATGCATTGCACCTATTTATAGGTGCTCTTTAAATTCATTTATCAATGACGAGAGAAAATTATAAAAACGCAGGGTAGAAACTGATAATACAAGAATTATTAATTTAATAATAGCAATCTAAAATTCATTAATGTATGTTTGAATATTGGGTACTATTTTTTTAGAAAGCTAATTTGCGGCGGATGATATAACAGATATTATTTGATTTTGAACAGAAACTTGACTCAACCAATGAAGGCAAAGCACAATATTGGAATGATGTCCGGTAAAATCTAGTATTATGGCTCCCGTTGCATTTGATACTTGAGCTACCAAGATGAGAATGTGTGCATGCCATGAAGGTGCATACTTCTTCATAGCACGATCGTTGCTCTCAAAAAATCTTAATCGATTAAAAGAGTTGGCAGATTGTAAGTTTCCATCGTATTAAGCACTAGGCAAGCTAAATTATTTATTACATTGTCAAATTCAAAAAATATATTTTCTTTTTATATAAATTGATCGTCAAACAATAGCCTTATAATACAATAGTACGGTTCCTATGAGAGGTATGTACTTTAATTTTATCAATGCAGTTGCAACATGTTTACAAATAGTAGATACAAACTTAGTTGTCAAATAACACCAACGTCCCAGCACAATTGTTATTGTAGTAGATCGTCCAGTTAATAATGAATTCCGTCTGTATATGCACAAAACATTTAATTTTCTGTTTCGATAGTATGTCATAAATAAGTCTCAAATAGTCTCAATAGTAATACGTAGTTACTGGATGGCGGAATACATTTTTACGATAAAACACAGCAGATTTTAAGAAACATATTTTGAGAAAGATGAGATGGATGTCTCCCATGTATTAAACCAATAATCATACCGAAAAAAAATAAGGTCAGTTCCAATTTACAATGTCTTTTTAGATACTGCCTGAAATCCTATCTTCACAGTAAAAGACGACCATATAAATAATATTTTGAATTAATTTTACTTAGCTAACGAATTTAGCTTTCTTTACATGCAGAGCAACCCAGTGTGTAAAAGAAATTGGTAGCTGGGGAATGAAGCGAGATTAGAGTAGGATTTGAATTTTAGTTATGTTTTTAATCATCTGTCTAATTTGATGAAATTCAAACTATACATAAAGTTACAGCAGGATTCGTGAACAATATTTGATCGCCTGAAGAACTGAATAAATGACTGACTCCGACAGTAAGAACAGTTTGTCTGATTGTGAGTGTAATGCTAATTGGATAGATGTCCGTTATAATTTCAGTCCCTAGCAGTAGATATTTTCAACTCTCATTAATATAAATTGATTATAAATGAAAATCTTCCCAAAGATAAAATCGAGGAAATAAAATTTTGGAATAATAACACGTGTTATAAAAATTAGAAAAAATATTTTGTTAATATATTATTTGTCTATTTAGAAATAGTCTTGTATTAAAAATTTGTAACGTATTGTGACTTTCTTCAACAGTTCACCCGTTATAATATAATATCTACATGTGAAGTAGGTATCATATTAATTATTTGTTTGTACTAGGTTAGAAATTAACTCATTATGTGATGCCTAGCCAAATGTGTAAGTCAGTTAAATATTATAAAAAAATAAACTATAATAATACCGCATAATAAAATAAATGTAATACAAATTTTATAAACTGCCATAGAAAATAGATTTTCTTATAAACCGTTTTTTTTTGTGTATTAGAACGTGTTAAGGTTTTAGTTTGTGTAAAAGGTTCGTTTATTAAAAGTTCACATATCTCTTTCTTCTTATATCGTCGGATAAATGCAATCTTATTAGAAACTATGTGTGTAATATCTTCCTAAATGTTGTATTTGCCACCATTTTGCACAAAGACGTTATTTTGCACCTTACCTTACAAACTAAATAAATACCTATTCCATGTAAGTAGATAGATTATTTTGTTAAGTAATTAGTAATTAGAATGGGTAGGCAAACGTTCACTACAATTTTCATTGTAAACTTGAATGTAGTTACATACTTTGTTTGTTTATTGTATCGACTTCTCTGTATGTTAAATATTTATTGGGCATATTGGAATAATACTTAATAATTTATTAGACAAGAATTAATAATGGTTCATTAGTAGATGCTTTCAAAGTATTAAGAGTTCTTTGCACTGTTGATGAGTATTTAAATTCAATTATTAAAGAACGATTGCGTAAGTAGGTACCTTAACTTAAACTGTAGATATCAAGTTGGTAGATTAGATTTGTCGTTTAGATACTTTACTGAAATTGTAGGTTTATAGAATCTAAGAAAAATAATATTGTATTTAAATTAAGTTGTTATAATTTTTTAGATAACTTTATTTTGATAACTATCATATTTTATCCTGTAGGTACTGAATTTATAAATGAACCTACCTGAAGATTTGTATGATTATTGAATATGTAGTTCACCTATTTGTTTTTGAATAGGTACCTACCCGTTTAGTTGTCCAAACATACATAGGGTTGTTCGTAGGACGAGGTAATTGTGTAGTGGTGGAGCGCGCAGGCGCCGGCGCCGGATCGGTTCTCCCGCGCGGCGGCGGAGCAGGCGTCGCTGGTAGGGTAGCTATGTGTTACGGCGGAAAGCACGGTGACGAACGATACAGATGCAAACTCACCGATACAGGGCAATATGGATATTGTGTATTTCCAAAATACGTATGTTTCTACGTGACAATTAAACGCCTAAATTGATTAGCATATTGTTGTTGAACTTGATGTATTTTAGAGAATTATTGATCAAATCGATGTTATATAGATGTTTATTGTAAATATTAGCTTTAATTGAAGCCAAAGAAATATGGAATGGTCTAGAGTGTTATAGAAGGCTGTATTTTTGGGTGATATTTTAGAAGGATGGCATCATATCTTTCATAACATTATATAAAATAACACGATATAACTATCTAATAATAACAGATATGAGCTGGAGATGGACATAGAAAAGGTAATGATGTGATAAATGCAAATGGATTTTAGTTTTAGTGTTGTTGTGCTATTAATAAAATATGTTCCAATGTGGTTATTTGCTGTTTTCTTTTATTAATAATCCTTGTTCGGCCCTTTGTACGATTTCCAGAACCCTTCGAATAATAAAACTTTCAGAAATTCCACGAATTAATCAATTATAATTAGAATAACGTTAGAAGTGGTGTTCCACAAGGTAACATCATTGGTCAAACGCAATTAATATGAGTACAATTTTGTAAATTTCTTTATCCAATTGCATTAACTATACCAATTACATATCATCAGCAATAGTTTTGACGAAAAGTCAATAATAGATGGAATCCTCAGATATAAAGATAAACAAAACGATCATGTTACCGGCTTAATGAAAAATATCAATATTTTCATAGCTGAAGTCTTAAAACATACGATGCAACGAAGAATAAGAATTTGTACAGTGAATGTGAAAAACAAACAAACTAACAATGTGTTCAACACTCTGTATAAGTATCTAAGTGTAAACACATTTCTACTTTTTCTTCACTTGCATTGAATAATAATGATATGCCGATTCTTACAATGACCTTATTGAGCTGTATAGAATTTAAATCAATATTGAAACTTGCTATAACCGTGTTTGTAGACCTAGTCCTAGAAAAAAGTGGCAATTGAAAAATATTCTGTTAAACATTTAGTAAATAAATAGGGTAGTATTCTGTACCTTTGAATACCAAGTTGCATATTTTTATATTTTTTTTTATATTAGATGGGACTGACGTTTGACCACTATCTTGCCTGGTGGAGGCCTATTTTCATATATCTAATGTGTCATAATAATTTTTGTCTAGATTTCCAGCCAAAGCTTTTCTTGAAGAAATACCAATGGGAATTGAGAGTATTTTCGAATATTTGTTGTCTAGTGATTTATAAAATTGACAAATAAATAAATGAATACAATTAAGAGGTACCATACGGATCAGAGAGATTAAACAGTTAACCGTAAAAATAGATTCCACAACCAAAGCTATTATTAAAATTACAAAAATTGTTTCTTATTGAAAAAGTGTCGAAAACGTAAGGTATTACAAAACAATCATTTCAAATGACATCTCAGTGGCAACATCAAATTCCGAGTGAGTATACATTGGGGACACGCAGTTAGGCGGTGGTACACTGGGCTCGCTGCCATTGCAGCGGTAAGTCCCCTCTTTGAGGAGTGGCTTGAGAGACGCTACGGCGTCCTCACCTAC